AAAAGAGAAAGTTGAGGCAATGGCAAGTCGTCTTAACTTCACTGACACATAGCGCCACACCCTCACTGAGCAGCTTACATCAGCTTAGTTTCCCAGTAGACAGTGAACTGAAACGGAGCTAAAATTTGTATTGGTTATGTGTGATGGATGAAAGAGAACAGAGGAAGTGTCAGAGCTGTCAACAGAAACAAATACACACTCAATTAGCACATGAGGACTGCACGAGTGCTGCTTTCTGCCTGTGTGATTAAGACTAATTGCTTATACTGGTTGTTTAAACTGGTCTTACTGGCCTCTTTTCCTTGCAGTAGTAGGCTTCAATCCTTAAGAGCAGTGGTTCTCAAACCTTTTCACTTCAAGGACCTTTAAACTGGCACAAATTAGACCCCCATTTGATAAGATTTTGTCCCAGGACTTGCTTGCTTTTAGATGTTGTATTACAGAAAGTACATGAAACCAATGACCCAAACAGTCATTGTGTTACTTAGACAGATGGAATTACAGCTAAGATAAATGATTAAACTTTTTGCTGGGGACCCCCTGGAACCACTTCAAGGACCCCTGGGGGTCCCCGGAGCCCACTTTGAGAACCACTGCTTTAGAGTTTTACAAGCACAGACTGAGAGCTCACATCTCTTGTCTCTCTGCAGAAGTTTATCTGTTTCACATTTCTCTCCTCCCATCCAACTACTATCTGCCGTGACCTCTGACCTCCTTATTGCAGAGGTTCACAGTGACCATGTGGAACCATCACACAGCTAAAGGGATGCTATCAGTGCTAGCAGGAATGACTAATGAATGGGCAGGTCAGCAGTCAGAGTGTGTACATCAGTAACCTGATTTGTTTTAACCAATACAAAGTCTAAATCTCTTGTTCTTCCTTGTGTTTTGACAACCTGGACAGTCTGGTGGGTCTCAGCTGGTTAAACAACTAAACTGTCCTCAATGAAAGTTTCTCTTTTCATAACTGTGCCAGTGATGTGATGGCAGTTCATAAAATATTGCTGATAGCCAGGCAACAGTACTTTGATCAAAATACAGTAATTTGATGAAATGATTCTTCAAACCCCTGGCGACCTGTCCAGGGTGTACCCCGCCTTGTGCCCGATGTCAGCTGGGATTGGCTCCAGCCCTCCCGGGGACCCTGTACGCAGGATAAGCGGTTGATGATCGATGGATGGATGGATTCTTCAAACCCCGCCCCCTAACAGCGATTGTCCAATCAAACTAAGCAGGCTTGTCAACCCTTTGGATTTCACCATGTGTTGAAGTGGTGTACATCGTTAGCACGTCTGGCCAACTATACCTACAGTAGTAACGAGTGGTACTTCCAAGGCCAAGGAGCATGAATGGAATGACACCTCTGACTGATTAGACTAGGGGTTGAGGGGAGTTTGAGGGAATGGACTAGTATGGGAGAGCATGATAGGGTCTGATTGATACTAACCATGCATTCACATGCTGTCAGAGTAATCGAAACATTAGTTCCCGACTGGGAAAACTCCCTTAAATGCCCCGTAAGGTCAGAACAACAACTCAGAAAGTCTGCAAAAATGTTGGTACACGACTTGGTGATTTAACGTCATTTTACATAAAATGGCGGACGCAAGTAAATTCACATCAGTTTTAATGTGCAAATGTGATTTGTAATATAGTATTAGGTTGTAACCATTACTTGCTGTCCACATAGAGTGACCTTGATCAGTTATTTAGTAGCATTAACAATCTAGGTAAAGCAATATTTTAGTGGTTTTAGGGAATTTAGCGTTAGCCTACTGGTGCAGCAACAAATCTGGGAGAAAATCACTAAGCCTCCAACTGCTTCAGCATACTTGGATAGCCACATCATACATACACATACCTGAATGCTATACAAACATGTTCATGTTGTTTACAAATTATGACTTTAAAACTCATGAACATACCGAAGTGGGTGGAACGACTTCCAAACTTGGAAAACTGGACTATCTGAGGAGCAGGTAATTGCAGCATAAGTCCTCTTTCAAGGCCTCTTCTCCTTCTGCAGGGGTGTGGACGGTTATAGAGGGGATCTGACCTGCAAGGGGATATAGATGGATAAAACAAAGGTTATGTGTGATGTTCCCCTGGGACTGTGTGAAAAAGAGAGATGGAAATGAAAGACAACAGAGGAAGTGTCAGAGCTGTCAACAGAAACAAATACACACTCAATTGGCACCAGTGCTGCTTTCTGCCTGTGTGATTGAGACAAATTTTTTGTACCGGCTGTTTAAACTGGTCTTACTGGCCTCTTTTCCTTGCAGAAGTAGGCTGTCCGTCTTTTAGCAAAATATAATGTGGCAGTCAAGTGCATTTTTAAGCTAACACTGGCTTAATTTGCAAGCTAGCTACAGCTGATAAAGTCTACTGGCAGCAATTTTCAACAAAAATTATGGTTGTAACAAGAAGCTGCTTTTGTTCACCTCTGTCAAAAATGAACAACACAAAGAATTATGTGCTAAATCTGCCACCGTTATCATTGTAAACTGTATGCATGTGCTGCGTGAGAACGTAAAGATCGGCAGGCGTTGCAACAGTAACAACTAACAGTCTTATTGATATTTCAAAATTGTAACTGTTAATGCCACAGCCAAGGAGGAGGAGGAAACACGATTCTGCTTTGTGTCTCTGTCTGTCATTAATTTAACCTCTTGAGTGTGTGGGAGGGTGGGAAAAGTAGTTGGTCAGATTCCAGCACAATAACTGTGGGTCATTAACAGGAAATACCAACAAACACACTGAGTGAATGTGTGTGTGTGTGTGTGTGTGTGTGTGTCCTTTCCGTGATTCACACAAACACAACTGTCTGCTCCATAAGTGCCTTCTGTCTGGAGCTATTTTTATCAAAACAGTTTAAATCTGAAGTAGTAGTTATAAAGTGATTAATAAAGATGTTAGATATAAAGTTTGAGCTGAAGACAGATTGGTACCTTTATTATTTTATTATACTGTATTTATGTATAATTTTTTTTGCACTGACAACTTTCTGTGAAAAGACTTCCAGATTGTCTAGTTTATTTACTGATGGCTGGTTGAAGGTCTGGAATGAATCACAGAGCGGTTTGAGTTCTTCAGTGACTCTTTCAGGACAAATATCCTCACACTGAACTTCAAGTGAACACGCCAGCTATTCATCACTTCAAACTCCAAACTACTTATAAAGTCATTATTTTTGAGTCTAGTGAATCACACAAGTAGTTAGTTCCGTTGAATGTATTTTAAGTGAGTATTTACACAAACGGCTGACTAACTGCAACAACACATACTGTAGGAATTCATATGATACTACTAGATAATACTACTGGTGGTTGTAATACTACACTGTTGTCATGGATGGGGAAATGAGCTATACAGACAAAAAACGTTTTTTGTACTAGACTGCAGACTTTTTATTTCTGATGACTAGTTGGGCATTTTAACATGGGGAGTCTGTGGGGATTGACTCACTTTGGAGCCAGCTTCCAGTGGCTAGTTGATGAACTACAGTTTTTGGCACTTCAAAAAACTTCACCAACATCAATATGCATCCTAATGACTCTATTGATCCTCTGACTTTTCTTCTACGGCCACTATGAGATTGAGACTTGTGGTTGAAAACAACTATAGAATGGATTGCCATGGACTTCATGGTTCCCAGAGCAAGAATCCTAATGACTCTGATGATCAATTGACTTTTCATAGCGCCATCCTCAGGTAAAAATGTTACTTTATGCAATACTTGTGACCAAATACATCCAAAACTAATATCATTACCATCAACCTCAGCTGTATTTTGTGGTTAGTGCTCTGGCAAATATTTGCATGTTAACATGCTAAATTAACTTGGTAAACATTATGAGATGTTAGATGTAAATGTAAATGCTCCGTACTTGTATAGCGCCTTTCTAGTCTTTTCGACCATTCAAAGCGCTTTTACGCTACATCTGCATTCACCAGTCACACACATTCATACACTGAGCCTAAGTGCTCAAACAGAAACTAACATTCACACACATTCATACACTGGCGGACAGCCAGCTGATGTTAGCATTAACCTAAAGCACAACTGTGTCAAAGTGTATATTATAAAGTTATAGATAATAAATGAACATGGGAGTGTTCTCAGACACATCCCTTGTCTTGTTGTAACATGGTGCTGTTTGCTGGCTCAAATCTGGCTACTGTTGGACTGAACTCTTCCTTAATTACACAGTTAAGTGTTGCTTCAGCTAAGCAGGATTATAGACCACATGACAGCTGTAACATCACAAAGTTACCCACCAATATTGGAATTATACTCCTAAACTTCTTCAAATGTAAATAAACTTTAAGTAGCTACACATAAAAAGTTTAGTATCAGTTTGTGTTGTCTTTTAATTTATGGTCCAACAGTGGTAAAAGAAGTAGGCTATTTTTGGTAAAAGCAGCAATATGCTAACACAGTATAGAAGTACTCTTACAAGTAACTCCTGCAACTTTTACTTAAGTTAAAGTCTACTTAGCATAAACAAAAGTAATAGAAGGCCAGCTATTCTAAATAGCTCATTTTAGAAAAAAAAAAGCTATTATTTGGCATTAATATGTAGGCCTATATCACCTTAATGTTGTTTGCTTGAGAATTCCCCAGGGAAATACATAAAATACTACAAGGCTACAAACCTACTTAAATACATTTGCCTGCACTGCATCCAGTGTCACATTAATAGCATCTGTAAGCTCTGACCAAAAAGAGTTCCATGCATATGTTGTTGAGTGTTTGTTTATTTGTTGTTTCTAGACTTATGTATTCATGTGTTTCAGACGGTAAAATCAGATTACAACCACACCGACTCCATTCACACTTTAGTGATAGGCCTAACGGAAGAGGAAACACCCCGAACACACACATAGCGCGCTCAGCATATAGGCGGTGGCGGCGGGGGGTGGAGAGGAAACACCGTTAAACACACACACATACACACACACACACACACACACACGCACGCACGCACACACACACGCACGCAAAGGGAGGGAGGGTCTCCGCGCGCTCACTTCTCAGCTTCATTGACTTCATGTCACACTCAGATGAACTCAAGTTTCTCTAAGTTAGGTGCTGATTTTTTAACTTCTGTTTAGTTCTATTGGGCTTCATCTCAATTCACTTTTTCTGTCTGTCACGGAATCCCGGAACCTCGTGCGCTGCGCTAACGGACAAACCGGTTCAAGCACGAGACGGTTAATGGACCTAGGAGCAACAGGAGGTTTTACACGAGACCAACACCGGGAACAAGGTGGATTGTAACAGAGACTTTTGAAGCACACTGCGCGCCTGTGACTCAGTCTGCCCAGTTCTGATTCAACACCTGCCCGGTACCGACTGGACCCACAGTTAGACCCGGGATATCTGCAGTCTGACGCGGGATATCTGCTGTCTGAGAGGTGCAGTAAATTGCCCGCTTGGTAGAGCTGAGAGTTTAGTTGACAGAGTTGACGAAGGAAAGTTTTCACAAAAACAGTAAAAAAATTTCTGCTTCTTCAGTGCAAAGATTTTTTACTTAAACATAATGTTTGATTGGAAAAGAAAATATTTTTGACATTTTGAAGATGGAACGTTAATAGATAAATCAAAATTAAACCCGAAAATAGCCAAAACATTACCTTTATAAGAATAAATTTGTATTCCTGCTTTCATTCAGTGGTTAAAAAATGTCCCCAAATTCCTTTACTTCAGTAAAATGCTTTGTTTGAATTAAATGTTCAGAAATAAAACTTACATTTATCAAAAATATTGTATTGTGGAGAGTTCAGTGGAACTCTCTCATGGCCAGACCTAGAAGTTTGGGGGCTCTGGGCAAAATGTATCAGTTTGTTCCTCCAACTGATTCTGTTTTAGCTCCTGTCTGATTTAAACTGTAGATTTAGAACTAATCTAGGCTACAAGTCAAGAATTAGACACATTATTCTGATTCTTAAATTAGTTTAATTGTTTGGAACAGTTAAAATAGTGCAAGCTGATTTACAGGAATCACGTGATTGTCATCTTTCATCCTTAATTTTCGACTTTCTAATAAAACAATATACTTAGTTTTATTATAGCACCATTCAAGAAGAGGTCAATTGTCCCAAAATGACATATCTGAGAGTACATATATAGAGTGTCACTATGTTTGGTTTGTTTAAGATAACCTGGTGTCAGCGAGGGATGATCCGGCCCTGATCTGTCCCTTAGTGGATTCATGTTTAATCCTCCAGGTACACGTAAAGTACAAAGTATGTGAACAAAGCCGTTTGCATCGGCGACGCCTGTCTACGCCTATGCATTGTTAAAAAGCAAGTATGTCAGGGCTTAACTTTACTTGACCCATCTAGATCCACCCACCCCATCACCTTCTTATTCGGACGTTGTCAGTCTTTATGCTACGTCACCTGACTTCCTCCTTTGCTGCGGTCATAGAGGTTGCAGCCTAACGATAAAGATAAAAATGGGTTGTAATAAGCTGCTCCATCATCGACCTTTACAGAAGTTTTTCTGGTGAAGACAGGCTGGAATATAGTATGTGAAAATACTTTGGTTGTGTGCATCAGGAAAAGTCACATCCCTGATTGCTTAAAGACTACGATGTACAATTGACCTCTCCTCATGTTATCAAGATGTAAAAACATCATGTTTTTACACTTTGGTTTTTGTACAGATTAAACAAACGAGATGTACTGTGTTAATTATTGAGCTTTAGAGGTGCTGGTAGAGGGGTTTTGTTGTATTTGAAGTTGGAACTAGGCCTGGACAATAAAACAATAATAGTCACCGTGATATAATTTCTTTCAATAACAATATATCAAATGTTAAATAAATATTGGATAAATGTTTGATTTCATTCACTTGAACTATCATAATCTAGGACTTTTTTCTTTTTTATTAAGATGTTTATTTTATTCGGGAAAAAGGACTGAACCACTGTTTGGCCTCAGGTCTTGACCATAAAGAAAAATTCAAACCACAATTAACCATCAGGTTTCTTCAACTTTCTCTCAGGAGCAAAAATCAGCCTTTAAACTCGTAAGAAATAACGATTTGATACTTATTGTGATAATTATCGATATCGAAAGATATGAAACTTTTATCGTGATAACATTTTTCGTCCAGCCCTTATTTGGACAGAGCCAGGCTAGCGGTTTCCCCCGTTGCCAGTCTTTATGCTAAGCTAAGCTAATCAGCTGCTGACTGTAGAATTAATATTTATCGTACAGACACCAGAGACGAATAATTCTTGTGGCTTCTCTCAATTTTATTTTTCGAGTTTGTTCTCATTTCATGTGTATTGATTGTTGTTGATTTGTGTCTCTCTAGTCTTTCCACCATCATGTGTCCCTCAGCGGGCAGGGTGTGTGCTCGCTGCAGCCTGATCCTGGTTGTGGTTCAGGTCCTGGTCCATCCTGTGGTAGGATACAGTCTGGATCAAGAGCACAGTCTGGAGTTCAGTGGCCCCCCATCCTCCATGTTTGGATACTCAGTCCTGCTTCATCATCATGGAGCTCATCGCTGGTATACTTTTGATTTATTATTGATCCTCTGTTGATCTACTATTGATCCTCTTGATCATTTTTTAATTCTCTTTTAATCTCCTATTGAGCATATCGATATATGCTGTTCAGCTACTATTGATCTTTTATTGACCCTCTATGGAGCTTCTGTTGATCTGCTATTTATCTTGAAAGTCTTGAAATTCTCAGTTGATCTGCTAATGATTTTCTATTGGTTCTACTAAAAATTAGGGAAAATTGTCCCTAAAGTTACACAGTCATGTTTTAATGATCGACTTTTAGAAACATTTATTATTATGAAGTTTAGTGTGTTGTATTAAAATACTGTATATTACTTTATATAAAACTCCTGGAGATCTGGGTGCGATGATCTCACTAATGGAGGGCTGAACCACATTTGAAAGCATTATGGGTGTTAATAATGTTGGTGATGAATCTCCTCAGTCGTGACTTTTGACCTTTAAGCTTATTTAGCTGCAAAGATGGGTACCTTTACATTAATTTAATTATCACTGTGATGCTCATTTAGCTGCCATTTCCACAGTAGGACTCTGTGTGTGTCCGTGTTTGTGTGCATGCTAATGAGCCAGTGCTTGTCAATGAGAGAAGCTCTTTGATGCTTCACACACAGATGCCATTCAGACACTGCACAGACACAAAGACAGTTAAAGTCTCACTCTCTCTTTCAGGTTGGTGGTTGGAGCCCCAGTAGCAAACTCGTCTTCCAGTCCGTCGGTTCAATCTCCGGGAGCTGTTTACCAATGCAATATCACTGCTGAGCCCCACCGATGCCACCACATGACTGATGGTGTGTTTCTGTCTGTGTGTGTGTTGTGAAGTAATTTCTCCAACATTTGAAATACTACCAAACGTGCAACTGAGCAGTATCTAAAGCATTATATATTATTACAATGCACACACATTTATTACAGTAAATGTTTATTTATGTATTTGTCAACAACTGTACCTCCTCTTGTAAGCAACTATAAGTGGAGGCTTGTGTATAAACAGATAATGAACGACAATCTAGTAAAACCCAGCTGTAATAATGTAAAATATGTCTGAGAAATTGTTGACAAATTTTGTACATTTATAAACACATAAAGTCTCCTTAAATCTAAATTGGGTGGTTAAAAAGCATAATGTTACTCCAAAGGTAACAGTCTGCCTAGTAAAGTCTGCCTAGTCCCGCATCAGAGCCCTATAAACCACAACTTTTTTACAAATTAAACAGATGAGATCATGTTACTGAGCTTTAGAGGTTTTGTAACCTTTGGAAAGAGCCAGGCGATCCCTCTTTCCAGTCTTGCTGTCTTCCATGTTAACACTATTAGCTGTGGCCTTTAACAATAAAACACCACTGAATTACCCGTGAAGGCTGCATGTGTGAAACAGCGTAAACATTTTAAATAATTTGTGTCCAGAGGTGCGGAGCTGTGGGATGACGTGTGAAGCAGAGAGTGATCACCAGTGGCTAGGAGTCAGTCTGTCCAGGCAACCTGGAGACAAAGGAGGACACATCCTGGTAACATACACACTTCCTGTTCTCACACATGCACATGCGCTGCCATTTAAGTGTATCAACACACCAGGGTGACAGAGGTACCACAGACGAGCTATTATTGTGACTCCTTAATGACTGATAGTCGACTGTGAAGGCATAGTGGATAATCGAGGAAGAAAAATACTTAATAATTTGCCGTTCACATATATGGCTACACCAGCACAAGGTTAACACAGAGAGAGAGACTAAGTGTACATATTTTGTCACCTTCATAAGAGCTCTGTCATCATTTTGTCAAGTCAAACTGAAATAAATAGTGATTTTGGTTAAGAAATTTTTATTTATTTATTTTTTTGTGGAAATTGATTTGAATACCCATGAATCAACAGGAAACCTGTTTTTACGTCACATCACTTGCATCCTAATTTTTTAAATTGAAGGTGTACTGCTATTTGATAGGCACAGTATCTATGTGGACGGCACTAATAATAGTTTGTACGGACAGGCAGGTAGTTTATCCGCTTGAATGCTGACTTGTTACTGTAAGTGCAAGCTATTGTAGCACTACTTATGCTTCTCTGTGTCATGATTTGAATCAGAGATGCTGAGGTCACAGGACTTCCCGTTGCTGAAAATGAAAATGAAGAAATTGTCAAAAACTATCACATCTAGTGCATCAAATATGACCACTGTAAACACAAAGTAGTACTGATAGCCATTTCAGCTTGTGGTAAAACGGTGCATCGTTTTAATGGGCATTTAGCATGTGAAAGTACAAATTACATATATTTGTGTGCACAGTGGGAAGCAATATCCAATAACATTTTTAATGCAAATTCGGAAAGTATTTATTATTGGTGACTTGATAGGCACACGGTCTTGTTATATATCACCATTAGCAGTAAAAAGAATTACATGTTTTCCACCAGGGCAGTAAAATGTGAAGTTTAGCTGCTGATCTGAGCTTCCCTGCTGTTACCGTTTCATTACCAATAAAATTCATCATTTTGTCTCAGGAAGGTAACAGCGCATTTCTGTCCATGTAACAAAGCCATAACAGAGAGATTACATGAAGAACAGAAGAACTACATGAAGTTACAATCCAACTACATATTTTTTCTACAAGCGCAGTAAAAGTTTAGCTGGCTGATCTGAGCTCCGATGCTGGAAGCTGCCGTTTATTTATTGCCAATTAGCGATCAGCTGATTCTCACAAACGTAACATACAAAGCCAAAAACTGAGCGCTGGAGAGAGAGAAACTACATGAAATTAATCCAACTAACATAACACCACAAGCCAAAGCACAGCGCTGAACAATAAACCAAAACCAACTAACAATAAATGTTTTTCTACCAGTCAGTAAAGGTTTAGCTGGCTGATGCTTCCATGCTCTCAGCTAACGTTACGGTTTTATTGCCAATTAACGTTACTGATCAGCTGATTGTCTCGCTAACGTAACCGGCAAAGCCAAACCACAGGCTGGAGAAGAAGTAGGCGCCATGAAATTAATCCATCTTTCACACCACTGACAGGGGAAACATGTCACGGCTCTCTATGATTATGGCCCCATTACAGCTTTCATTTGCACCGCTAAAGTCTGACAAACAAAGTTAATTACCTGTCCAGTAGAAAACAGACAACTTCTGCACCGCTTTGAAAACATTTGTCCCACATTAACTTATAGCCTTCCATCTGGGAAAATCCGTGATTTCTGCTGTCAGCTGTCAGCAGCCGACTCCGTCTGGCTGTCAGCTCTCGTGCTAAATAACACGTGTGTCCTTCAGTTGTCCAAATGTCACTTCTCTTCTTACTTCTAATAAATAAGAAAACTACTCGGGGACTGTATGTTACAATTATTAGTCCCTCTTATTCTTCTTTGTACGTATTCAATGCATAGACAGTATATTACTGGACGAAGCCACCCCGCTGATTTGAATGGAGAACATTGAAGCCAGTTTTGGACCAATAAAATACTACAGGGCCACTTCCTGTTGGCACCAGCGTCTACTGCGCAGCATAACCGCGTTTTAATGACGTAGAACAACGGCAGAAACACCGTAATTCTGGTAGCTGCAGAGCTGCGCCAACAAAAAGATTCAAAAGATTAGAAACATGACGACAAAATACAGCGACCTCCATAGAAGGGGGTGCCCGCGGTTATGTAGATATAAATGTCTCATTCTAAGGTAATAAAAACATAATGGTTCATTATGTAAGGTCTTTACACACCACTGAAAACATAGTTATGGATCTTATATTGCATTTTTGTCAATAGAGCCTCAGAAATATTACACACTGGATCTTAATAAACCAAAGGGAATAGTTATTCAACATCAGAGTAAGTTTGTAAATCCTTACTATGTTAAAACAGAGTCTCTGTCACAGTGACATAGGTCATGGGAATGACAACACTGCTAACTTGATTTTGTGATTGTGTTATTGTCAGTAATGAGTCCATATCACATGCTGTGTGTGTGTGTGTGTGTATGTGTGTTCAGGCATGTGGTCACCGTTGGAAGAACGTCTTCTACTCCAAGAAAGACAGTCAGAACCACAAGCTGCCTAATGGAGTCTGTTATCGCTACAGCAATGACCTGAGACATGCCCAGCCCATTTTCCCGTGCTACAGAGGTACACACACACACACACACACACACTTGAACTAAAATTAAAATTCACACACCTGCTACACAAAACTGTCCACCTTATTCCTAACCATATTATACCTTGCTTGAGTTATGGGTGTAACTTCCTGTTATGTAGCATACAGAAAAGTGTGAACAAGCTTTCACACCTTTAACAGGACAATATGTTCACGTCTCTGTTTTCTACTAACGAGGGAAAGGAGGATGACCTGAAGTACCCGACATACAGTAGCTAACTTATCCAGCGCTTCTTTTTTTTATTCTGTTGCAATCCAACGTGAAGCAATGAACAATCTGAAAAGCTCTGAGGCTCATCAGTACGTCCACAGAAATAAAGTCAGGGTTGTTTTATTAAAGAAGGTGAAACAGAACCTTATCTATCTCAAAGCAGAGTCTCAAAGTCCCACATCACCTAGCTAAAACTAAGCTAGTTTGTTACTGCCATCCGCAGCCAACTCTCCAGGTCCTCATGTCCTCCCATCCCTCAGTAAGGCAGAGGTATGATCATATTAACAATTTAAAGAAAACGGCTGACATTTTTGGAAATACGCTTATTCGATTTCTTGCCAATAGTTAAATGAGAAGATTGATACCACCCTCGTTTCTGTACGCTAACTAAATGTGAAGCTACTGCCAGCAGTAACTTGCTTGATGAAATGATGTTGTGTGTGTGATAGTATGTGAAAGCAGCAGCTGTTCGGCTGCAGGAGAGAAACATTTAGCTTTTATCTTCTTGTTTGTTCACTTTCACCTTCACCTCAACGTTTATTTTTTTCTTTGTCATAAACTCGCAGACTACCAGAGGAAGTTTGGTGAGGATTATGGGTCATGTCAGGCCGGTATTTCCAACTTCCTGACAGAGGTCAGTAACACGCAGGCCAGCAGCAAGTTTCACTGTTTCCACTATCAGACTGAATGTGATCTATCACTGCTGTCTTATGTATAACTTCAGTTGTACATGATGTTTTTTAAAGTCTGTGAAGCCACCTGCTTTTTTCTTTTTCCTCTTCATTTTGTGGAAAAATACAAATACATTGTCTTAATTTTAGAAAAGAGAACAAATACGGTCAGCTTCCTGTGTCGAAAACTAACTTCTATTTTAAAGCAACATATACTGCAGAAATTATGATTTTGTGATATTTAGAGATATGTCACATATATGACAGAGACATAATAGAGCTTTAATAGACGTCACATTATGTCTCTCTCAGGATCTGATCATCATGGGGGCTCCGGGGACGTCTTATTGGATGGGTTCAGTTCTGGTGTTTAACACGTCCAGCCGGGGGATGTCAGTGTACCTGGATGACGACTCTGGAAACGTCAGCTTTGGAAGCTACCTTGGTAACTGATACACTTCAGGACTCAACATTAAGGATTTGCCGATTGCATGGGGGGCATAAAATGCCATGTTGGGCTAGTAAATCTAGACACGTTGTTTTTTTCCAGAGATGATGATGGAAGTAGCTAAGGTGCCATCTCACTTCCTTCTCATCTCTGTTGAAAGTTGCACATGTGCAGTAACGATCGGGCACTCACAAGAAAATGGCGCTGGGTAAAGGCAGCATTTATAAACTGAAGAGCATATTAAATAACAATGACAAATTAATCGAATTAAATGACACTTTACTGTAGTGTTTGCTGTTATTTGATAACCAATATGCCCAAAATTGACTTTGGGCAAACATTAATGTTAAACCCTGCACTGAAATAATGCTATAGCAACTTATAGGAACTGCCACACAGTTCCCACTACTGCCATCAACACACAACCACTGCCTGTGTAAATAATACACATGCTACTAGTGGTTCTATTACTCCTGCCAGCATATACACCTTCTACATGTAAGTTTAAACATACAGTTCACTTTACATACAGGAAGTACTAAAACCAACTATATTACACATTGATTAAACACTGACAACTGGTGTTTATGGGTTTCAGCTGATAGTAGTAAACATCACATTATCCAACGATTAGCAAGTTTTACCCAAAAAGTGGGTACTGATGGAGTTCTCAGGCTGCCGATGGGTGTGATAAGATTCAGTTGCATATAACCTAGTTTTCATGAGAACCTTATTATTTAGTTAGTAATCAGATATCTCCACTTCACTTGACCATATTTTCCTACCATATGACCATGTCATATTTGTATCATACAAAATAGTGTATAATGTTTTTTTTATAGACCTGATGTAGCTCTTTACAAAGTAATCTACCAGGAATGTGCGCTTGCACGTATTTGATTTGAGAACGCAGTGTTTTGCTGTATGAAGATGCACTGTGATGCAGTGGAGTTGAGCCAGAGTCAACTGCTGTTTGGTTTCTTTTGTTGTTTTTTCTGCTGTGGAGTGATGTCTTTTCAGACATGGAATATGTAACACTTCTGGCTTCATCATTTAGAGAAAGAGCCTCATGCTCACATGATATTTGGCACCTGGTGCGTGAGGGAAAGGAATATTACTGCTGTAAAACAGATAAGTTGAAGTGTAATGATATCAACGAAAGAAAGTTTTCTCACAGTATCAGCGATAATTTTACTAAAGACCATCCTGATTGTGAGGAACATTTAATACAGTTAATAAATTAGGTGAAGCATAGGTTAAGAATTCTGCTACCAGCTGTGCACAAGCATATATTATGCTTGTTTATTTACAATTAGCTCACATGCTTTAGCCACAATGTTACCTAAAAAGGTACATGTCTGAAACGGGCTTAATTGAAAGGAATGAGGAGGCTTAGTTATTTCATGCAGTGCTGATCTGAGCCGGTCTGTTTAAGTCACTGCTAATGCAAACATTTCCTGCTGCTTCACATTAAAATCACTCAAGTGAATCACTAGGAGGCTTTTACTGTGAACCACTTGGAAGAAAGGCAGTGTAATTGTTATTGAGACTGAGCGGTGCTTCGTTAGCAGTGCTGTTGTTCAATAAAATGGGGTATACTCACAAGATATGGATGTATTCTGCATCATTTGTCAGGGGATCAGTTGTAAATATTGCAGGGGGGAATAATACAAGAAATAGTGCCTAAATTATCAACGAGGTAAATATCATTTGCGACGTGCCAGCATGACTTGAATGGTTATAGTTCCTTATGACTCAGCTCTACATGAATATTTCCAACCCTATTAAAAAAACGTCAGGGCTCAATAATGCAGCAGCTTGAAGAGTTTTTTGGTTGTTGGGAGTGTTGGTGTAGTGTGAGGATAGACCTCTGAGAGAACACAGGTTGTCTTACTGTGCACAAACTCTGACTTTGTGGGGGATAATTATAGATACAGCTGGAGTTGTTCTGTTTCCTCCATCCTGTTATCACAGTGATATTGTCTTCTTCCATACAAACTACTCTTCTTCTTTGTCCTGATTATGTTCACATGTACAGGGTATCTGCTGGTCTTGAAAAGTTGAAAAGCATTATTTTTCCTGCAGCAAAACCCAATGACAAAGTGTAATGTGCTTCAGATGAACATCTTGTAGAGTCTGCTCAGACAACATTATCAGTGTGTGTTGTCTTCATTTAGCAGTGCAGCAGTTTAACTCACTGACAGCACAAATGAACAGGAAGTATTGGTTCGAACACATTTCAAAGCTGTGGTTGTTTGTGCGACTTTCTGTCATACCATCACTCTCTCTCTCTCTCTCTCTCACACACACTCTCACACACACACACACCTGTTTTTGGGGTGACATTCATTTACCACAACCACTAAATGACAAACCTTAACCAAAACCCAAGTCTTAACCCTGTGTGATCACAGCAATAATGTTTTAAAGAAACACGTTTGAGAAATACGCTTACTTGCAGAGAGTTAGATGAGAAGATTGATACCACTGTCATTTCTGTACAATAAATATGAAGCTACTGTAAGCAGCAGGTAAGCTTAGCTTAGCATAAAGACAGATAATAAAATCCACCTACCAGCACCTCCAAAGCTCACTATTTAACACATTATATCATATTTGTTTAAATGTAAAAATTATAAATTGTGGTTTTACGAGGTTTTATATTCTTGGCCAAGCACAGTGACTCTTTTTTTCACAAATTTGAGTCAAGTTTCTACACAAGGTGGCATTCATCAAGCTGAAATGAGCAATTTACTACGAGTTTGGTGAATCTGACTTTGAAAGCAAAGAAAGTAAGAGAATAGGTAGGATCAGAATATGAAAATGTTCTTGCACAAGGCTCTTTTTCATTGTCATAGAAGTGTTGAGCTGTGAAGACTAGTTTCGTGTAGGTCTGGTTTTCTGATAGCACCGTATCAGTTGCAGATCAGTCCGTTCGAATGTTAATCAACAGGTCTGTTCTTCTGAGCAGGAGACATTATGCTGACAGTCAAAGTCATCAGTGGTGGAAGAAGTACTCTGATGTTTTACTTGATTAAAAGTACCAGTAATACAACAATATAAAATGTAAACAGACTGCATTCAAAATCCTAGTAAAAGTACAAAAGCATTATCAACTAAATGTATTTAAAGTCTAATTGTTCTGCAGGAAAATGTCACTTAAAACAGAACCAAACATGACATGAAACATGACACAGGGCCCCAACTACACACTGCTTTTTGTCAGTGAAAAGTAAGTAGTAACAATTTTTCTATAGTGTAGTAGAAGTAGCATAAAATGGAAATACTTGGTACTTAATTTCAGCACTTGAGTAAATGAACTTTTACTCACTCACTTAGTTTCCACTACTGTAATATCTATGTGTGACACTGTTTCCTGCTGCTGTTCAGGTTACTCTGTCGGAGCCGGTCACTTCCTGAGTCCTACTTCTGTGGAGGTGGTGGGTGGAGCTCCGCAATACAACCAGAAGGGCAAGGTAGGACCTACCTCTGTAGCTGTCTACTTGTCTGTCTGTCTGTCTCTTTAGTAACTGCTCTGAAAGTCTGAATGGTTGTTGGTTACAGTTAGTCTCATCCTCACTTCCTCTTGATGGTGTTATGATAACTTTCAGGTTTGTGATACATGATAGTGTATGTTGTGTTATGTAGTTGCAGTGATTGAGGTTTGAGCGTGAGTGTCTTTGTGCAGGTCTTCATCTTCTCAGTAGACAACAACTTGCTGCGTGTCGTCTCCAAAGTGTCCGGAACAGAGGTAAGAAGCCACTTAGCATTAGCATGCTCCATTCAAAACAATAGAATACTTAGCATTTAGCTGGTGTGTCTTCGTGTGTGCTTGTGTAGCTGGGATCTTACTTCGGCTCCAGTGTCTGCGTGGTGGATCTGAATGCTGATGGTTTGTCAGATCTGTTGGTCGGCGCTCCCATGGCAACAGGTGTCATCAGGGAGGAGGGAAAAGTCCATGTGTACATCAACCAGGGCCAGGTCAGCACAAACACACATAAACACGAACACACAATTTATGTATTTTAGCACAAAGCAGTGAATATTAATCTGGGATTTGTCTGTAGACCCAACATGGTCGACAGTACTATTATGTTCTGTCCTATTTACACCGTAAAAATACCGAATAATAGCTCGGGCTTTTATTTGCTTAAATCACTGAATTGACCTATATTTGGAACAGGCCTTTAATTCCTTTTGCACAAAACCGAAACTACTATAAAACAGTTTATTTATTTCAAACAGAATAATACTTGTATAACGGACACATTTGGGCTTAACGATCAGTCTTAATGAGCGCTTCAAATGTAAGTAGTCATCACTTTTTTTCCTTTCCTCTCTTGTACCAGGCAGGTTACACCGGTAAATCTATAAGAATTAGACTTTGGGGCTTGTTGTTTCCCTTAAATGAACTGAACAACAGAATTGTGGAGAATCTAACCGATCTAATGATGTGTAGCATGTCCATACTGATATTGATCATAACATTCGTCACAGCATAATATTTGTATTAACAATCTAAACTAGATCAGGCGTTAAATTGAGGCAGGCGTTTATTTGTTATAATGTGTTCCCACACCAGGCCAGTAAATGGGGTAGGCGGCTATTTGGCACTCGGCTATTGATTGAAGTTTTACGGTATACTAAATGTGAGAGTATACCTTGTCTACAGTTGATGTACAACAAAATAAACATACTTTATTGTAACTAACAGATTGTACTAACAGGAAATAACAGAAGACTGACGCATGTCAATGAAACTGCGACCAAACACAAACTGACTCTCTCTCAGGGGAAGCTGATGGAAGCGGAGTTTCAGCTGACTGGCAGCAATGCCTACGCCGCCCGGTTTGGAAGTACCATTGCTGACCTGGGAGACCTGGACGATGACGGTTACCCCGGTAATGATCACACCTGCAAAGCCTGACCTATCAGCTTTTATTTTGGTGAAACCACTTCATATACACAGTACTACTAGCACTACTGCTGCGAATACCGCTGCATTACTGTTAATAGTACTGCAATACATCTTCTACTATGTCTGATACTATTAATTACTACTGCTTCTACTACTGAAGCAAGATACTAGTACTCCCTCTGATAGTACTAATAACTAATTCTGCTGCCGCAAATATTATTTACAACTACTGTACAACTGCAAATACTACTGCTGCTAATATTAGTGCAAACACCATAACTAGTAGTACTGCTAATAGTACAGCAACACTCCTTCTAGTACTTCTGATATTACAAACAAATGCTGCTACTATAATTACATATTAATATAATACGACAAGTTCTTCTGATATTACCAATACTTTCTGCTACTGCACATACTACTACTAATAATATTGCTACTGTAAATAGTCCTGAATCTGTCTAATAATTCTTCTGATGCTACCAATAACTACTGCAAATGCTACTATTCCTTTTGATATTGCCAATACCACTGCCACTATCACTGCTGCTAATACCACAACAAATAACATTACTTTAAAAACCTGCAGTACTATTACTACGGCTGCTTCAGTAGTAGAAGTAGTACTATATTCAACTACCAAAAACAAATGTCGGGGCACAACTGACCCACCACCAACAGTAACTGCCACTTGCTGATAGTTTAACACACCCTCACACACGCACACACACATATGCAGTGAGGGGTGTGTGTGTGGGGTGGAGCGTGTTATTAAGTTCATTAAAGCTGTAATGACAAACAGTTGCTGCTCTGTAACTGAACCTGCCTTCTAATCTAATCTGCCACAGCTAGATAAAAGACTGTGTGGGTGTGTGTGTGTGTTCCAGTAGCTCTCTTTGTAAAAAAAAAAAAACACAGTTTGACTGCAGACCCTCACATCTTCAAAGGACTCAGGTTAAATATTAAAGGACCATGCTGGTGTTTTCGCATGTTTATGTACTAAGCATGCTACTACTTTCATCTTGCTGAACATTTTCTGAACAGCGGCACCATAGCTGGGCTTTTTAGAAATGCTGAGGTCATAAGTCCAAACCCCTCTCTAACACACATCCAGGAAATTTGGACCTGACCTCCAAAAGGATCGATTAACAATCTATTAACAATCTACAGAAAGTTTCAAGTCTCTGAAAATGTCAACATAAATCAGTGGATGCCTGGCAGGAAGAAGATCTATGTGTTGGTGAAAGGCCGAGATTGGGCTGATGGATTAGTGAATGGAGACAGCACGAGTCCTCACTCATATAGTAACCACCTGCAAAACGTTTTTTTTGTGCATATAAACACATGGGATGTGTTAATTAGTTAGCTTTAGCGGTGCCGGTAGGAGGATTTTGCTACTGTTAAATGAGCCAGGCTAGCTTTTCCCCCGTTTATAGTCTTTTTGCTAAGCTAAGCTAAGCTGGCTGTAGTGTTTAATATTTAAAAAACAGATAGTAATAAATGTGTGTGTGGGTGTGTGTGGATGTAGATGTGGCAGTTGGTGCCCCACAGGAAGACGACCTAAAAGGAGCCGTCTACATTTACAACGGCAGGAAGGAGAGCATCTCACCAACTCCATCTCAGGTACAAACACCAACACTGATACAGAAAATAATAAGAAGAACAATAATACAGCTTATTACAAGTTGGGTCTTATTTTCATAGTATTATTCCTATCAGTTCACAAGATCTAAAATGATTAGATATCTCTAACAATGATCAGTCTCCTATGATCTCCTATAGGAGTCTATAGTTTTTAATACATTAATAAATAGAATAGATAAATATCAGTATTACTTACAATGTTGAGCAAAGTAGCATAGATCTAAAAGTTTAGGGACCGCAATGTAGTCAAAGCAAACACAGGACAAAACAAGACAAAATTAACTATTCCTTTAAGACTGATCAATTCCGAACCATCGTAACAGTTCTTGGCTGCGTCCACTACTGTTTCACCTGCCATTTCTATCAAACCAAGTGCCACGTTAGACATCGTGAAACTGTTTTATTACTACACTTAGGCTGTTATATGGCAGGCAGTGTGAGGACAATATGGTGCTTTTTCAGGCAACTTAAAAGATCATCCTCATACTTAATTATTATTAAGAGGAAGATGCTGCTTCATCTTGAGTCTGAAGATGAAACAGCACAGATAGTGGTGAGGAGACACATTCAGATCCAACATGGTGTGTGTGTGTGTGTGTGTGTGTGTGTGTGTGTTTTCAGAGGATTACAGGATCCACCCTGGGTCGTGACCTCAGGATGTTCGGCCAGTCGCTGAGCTCTGGCATTGACATAGATGATAACGGCTACCAGGGTAAATGTCACAACAACCGTGTTCATATTGTACATTTGTGTTCTCATTAGATCTTCTTTCATCAAGGTTAAAGTCTGTTTCTCTCTGCAGATGTGGCGGTTGGTGCATTCCTCTCAGACTCGGCCGTGGTGCTCAGGTAAAACCACACTGAAGCTTTCTTCAACAGGACCTAGAAAGTGTTCCAGCTGTTCTGTCTCATTTCATAGACGTGTACAGGAACAAAGACTCCTTATTTTAGCTAAATTTGAAAAGAGATGATACAGCAAGTGAAACAGGGCATCCCACAATAAGATATGCAAAGGTTTCCCAACATCTGCCTCAAAATAGTGTGGATGGAAGTCTTTGCCTTGAGGATACATATTAATTAATAGTAAAATCAGTCTCCAACAGGGAATCATGTAACTGGACTGTATTTCAGTCCAGTTGGCATGCTGTAATAATTTCTCTGAATTTGTCGTGTGTGCTGTAGGACTCGTCCAGTGATTCAGGTGAAGGCGTTTCTGACTCTGCCTGAGCATATTGACCAGCGGGTGGCGCTGTGCCGAGAACACAAGACTGTCTGCTTCAATGTTACTGTCTGCTTCAGTGTCAGGTCCAGACATTTCAAAGGAATGATAGGTACTGTAAACCAAACTGTTGAGTATTTAAGTTTATAGGTTCAATCTGACCTTTTATACAACTTTACACCCAACCTGTTGATGTTTAAGATCACTGGACTAACAAGTCCCACCCCCCTTAGCCTTAAATTCTTATACAGCAGATATGCAGTTTACAATGATAACAATGGCAGATTTAAAGAAGAAGGGTCTGTCATTTGGCTGCTTACAAACTTCATATTTTCAAACAGTATGTTACTTTAAATGTTACAAGTGTCTACAACTTACCTACTGATATTTAAGATTGTTCCTCTCTTCTTCAGATCTTCAATATAATTTGACCTCTGACCTCCTCCATAAACCATCCTTCCCTCATCGTTTCTTTTTCCATGGTAACGGGTCATCCAATAGCACGAGGGGCGTGTGAGGGCACGACACGGCCAGCTCACTTGTTCAACACACGTGGCTTACCAAAGGGTAACACACTCACACACATGCTAAAAAACATACAGTGAATAAGTTTAATATGGGAGTAATAACATTTTATTGTATTTGCTCGTCTCTTCGATGTACCTGTTTCTTTCTCCTACAGAAAGATGTGAGGGACATTTTTACTCCAGTCCAGTTTGAGGTTTCCTACAGTCACAAAGAAACAAATCCCCACAGAGCCTCTTCCAAAACTTTCCCACCATTAAAACCCATTCTGCAACAGAGCGCAGGACACCAGAACACAATCACCAACCAGGTAAACACCAGTGCTAATGCCAACTGGGTACCAGTGCTAAAAAAACTAGGTACCATCGAGTGCTATTACCAGCTAGCTAGAGGCTAGTGCAAACCAACCAGGTACAAACTAAGGCTAACACCAATTGGTTACCAGTGCTAAAACAACTGGGTACCAGTGAGTGCTATTACTAACTAGGTACAGGCTAATGCTAACATTAACCAGGTTCAGGCTAATGCTAACACCAACCAGGTACTAGGGCAAAAAACAACTAGATCAACTAGTGCTAACACCAACTAACTACAGACTGTGGCTAAAACCAACTAGTTGCCTAAAGAATCTGCTAATCTGATGCCAGATCCTCCACACACACTGATAATGACTTTCTGTGTTTACAGCTGCCACATATTATCTGCAGCACATTACCCACCATCAGTCAGTTCATCTCCACCCCATGTCCCACTGACTCATAAAAACAGAGCAGGAAGAGTTAACATGTAGGAATTTAAAGCTGGAGTTACTTATCAGGACATTATTCATCAGCTGTGAGGCGGAGGTCAGGGGTCAGAGGTCACAGTTCTTGAAGTGGAAAATTATGACTGCTCAGTTCAACATTATCACTGATTACTGTCTCTCTCACTCTGTCAGACTTGGTTTGCTCGTTCCTGTTCTCTGGTAAACTGTTCGACCAACATGCAGCTCTCTGCTCAACTAGTGCTGCCACAGTAAGAACACACACACACACACACACACACACACACACACACACACACACACACACACACACACACACACATACACTATTGACTTTTTGACAAGAGTGAGAAGAGAGGATTGTGTGTGTGGAGCATGGAGCTGGAGTCAGGACATGGTTAGCCTAGCTTAGCATAAACACTGGAAACAGGGGAAACAGCTGGCCTGGCTTGGGCCAAAGTAAAAAAATACACAGACTAAAACCGCAGATTGTTGTTTTTACATTTCTGTTTATGTATGTTTAAACAAATGTGATGTAATGTAGCATCAGAGGTGCTGCATTTTTAAACTATGGACTGTGCCAGGTTAGCACTTTCCACTCATTGTGCTAAACAAAGCTAACTGTCTGCTGGCAGCAGCTTCATATTCAACGTACAGACACGAGAGTGGTATCACTCTCAGCATTCACTCAATAATTTTAGTATAGTAATAAAAATCTTAGCAGTGCTGTTAGTGACCATAGCCTGTAATTTTTTGTTGGTACGATGTCAAACTTATTGACAGTACAGCAAAGTAAGCAAAAGTGTATCATTTTCTTTTCAGGGAAATGTTTCTATAGCAGTAAGTGTTAAAATCATTTCTGTCACCAAGGCCTTTGTTGTCATTAGTCAGCAGTTGTATTTTGATGTTGGTTCTGACTGAAACAACAATGTTGTTGTTGTTTATCTCGTTGTTTGTCATCAGTCAGCAGCAGTACTTTGCTCTTGGCTCTGGACAGACCATCATGTTGAAAACCTTGCTGCTGAACTCTGGAGACGACGCCTTCCTGCCGCGACTGACGCTGCGTTTCCCCAAAAACATCCACTACATTAAAGTTCTGCAGAATGTGAGTTTATGTTATGCTGATTGGGCATCTTGAGGAAATCTTTGGTAATTTTAACGTTATAACCATTAAGATTTCAATCTTGGTTGATTTGGCGAGTGGTGTGTGGTTTAATGCTACAGAAAACACATATAGAGCAGAATCTTACAACAAAAGAGAAACTGGTGTATCAGTTTACTGTGCAACCACACAAGCTCATGGTGTGTGACATGCTTTTGCTGAAAAACCCACCATAAACAGTGTCAGTGGGATTTCATGAAAATTATAAGCATTTAACAACACAAATAACCCTTAAACAAAGTAACCACAACAAACCTTCTTGTGCGTGTCTGTGTGTGCAGGAGGACAACGTGGTCACTTGTGAAATTACACAGGAAGCCAGCAGTACAATGACAAGCGTTAACTGTAGCATCACCAGCCACCTCCTCTCAGCCCACGCTCAGGTAAGGCTAAGTCAATCACAGTGTTATTAAAACTGTTTTATAACAAACTAAGAGTCTACAGTTACGCTATCCGCTCTGTGAGGCTGCACCTAAGTGCAGCGGTGCTTTATGCTAAATGCTAACATCAGCATGCTAACATGCAGATGTGTAGCAGGTAGTGTTTATCATGGTAGCCATCGTTAGTGTTTTAGCATGCTAAAATTAGCTAATTAGAACAAAACACAAAAAAATAGCTTATGCAGATGGGAATAGTATTAATTCTGCAGGTATTAAGTCATAAACCAAATAATTAGACAAATTAATTTTTGACCTGGTCAGAGGATCACCAAAAAGATTATAATTCATGAATGAGGACATGAACGTCCAAACCAAATTTAATGGCTATCCATTCAGTAGTTGCTGAGACACTCATTGTGGCGGTAGATGAAAAGTCAGAGGATCACGAAAATCATTAGGATTAATGGTGTGGGAACCATGAATTAATGGCCAAGCAGACTGGTATTGTCATCCGTAGAGTCCTACTCAATACGCCCTGTAGTCCAGAGGTTAAAGGTCAGATCCAGCGTGACTGTGCTTTTTGCTCCAGCTTTTGTGTAATCAGCAGATGTTTGCTGTATTTCCTTTGTCTTAGTTGTTTTCCAAAATAAATATTGTGAAACATAATGTTGAAATGTCTTAGTTCCTCTGTGGAAAAAGACAGAGCAGCAGTTTTAAGGTGGAACTTCCTTAAACATGTGAAAGTTTAGGCTATAGTTTAAATATGAACACAGTTCAACTCAAAAGATCAAGATGAATAAAAATAAATGAATAAAAGGGGGAATGTGAAAATGAGAGTGGGGAATCAGATTGATCTTCCTGCAGCTGTCAGACATTAAAACAGATGTATAAGAAAACTAAAAACCGTCCTTCTTGTTGTAGTTGAATATCAGCTTCCTATTGGATGTTAACCAGAACAGCACACCTGGTGACATCATCATTCACGTCAACACCAGCAGGTAAGGACACCCTACTCCTCTCATCTCCAGAGGTGAAGAAAGTCCTCAAAACCTTTTATAAGTTACAATTTGAAGTAATGACAAATAATAGAAGCATTCACAGTAACATAAACTTAAGTATAAAAAGCTAAGGAACTAACTTTGAAGAATATTTTCATCCACAGTGCACAAAAACCTGTTTGTATGGTAAATTATTTGAGGCACAATATAAACTTGACTCATTATTGAACTAAATGTCCATCTGTAAGTTAAAGATAAGATGTTTGCAGGTTACATATATAAATTTGTTTTCTCTTGAGTGATAACTATGAGAGGGAGGAGTATCTTCATGACAACTCCATCAGTCTCCTTCTTCCTCTCAAATATGGAGTCAACGTCAACATCCACGGGTGAGTGAGCGTACATTTCTACATTACATTAGTAATACAAGTAAATGGGCGTAAAAAGGACGCAGAAGACAACACCCTAAAACCCACAGAAGTGAAACTGACCCTGTTTTTTTTTTTTTTTACTTCTTGTGCTATTAATAACTAGCTTATTGTTAATGAAGCAGACTCTTATGTTCAAGTTCAAATGTATTTATATAGCTCATTTGAAAACAACAGTAGACCAAAAGTGCTTTCAAAGCTCAGGATACATAAACAGCTATTTAAAACAAAGACAGTAGAAAAGGTCAAGGTGTCAAAACGTGGGTCTTAAGCAAGGATTTTCATCAGTCTGAGCAGTTCTTGTATGAATAAGTAAAATATTCTAGAAATTTGGAGCAGCCACTAAAAAAAGGCTTGCTCACCTTTATTTTTTTAACCTGGATTTGGGCACATCGAGGAGCATCTGATCGGACGACCTCAGTGCTTTGACAGGATCATGAACATGTAAAAGTTATGATCACTCTGTAAAGAATTAAAGTTTTATTTTAGGTGTAATACTTGTGTTATTGATATGAGGGGGACACATTCCAGTTGTTTTGGCTCCGGCTTTATTCAACTTCTTCCTGTTTACATGTAGTCGTAGTAGACAGTAGGAAATACCTAATGGACTGTACATTACCACAATATTAGCAGTTGCCAGCTCCACTTGTCCAGTCCAACAGATGGCGACATCATGACAAAAAAGAAGTATAGCAAGTAGGCTAAACTGAATTTTGTCACTGCTGCATTACAACCAAGTTAAGACTAAAATTCTAATTTGACAAACAGGAATGAATGTATTTCATTAACCGTAAAACCTCAATTAATAGCCGAGTCCCAAATAGCTGCCTATCTTCTTTACTGGCCAGGTGTTGGAAGACATTTTGACAAATAAACGCAGGTCCCCATTAAACGCCTGGTCTGGTTTTTATAGAAGTTCTTTGGATGTATAAAACCTCTTAAACCCTGCGGGGTCGCCCGCTTTAGCTGCTTCTGAGCTGCTTAGATCGTTAATACAAATATTAATGTTTAAACATATGATCAACATGTCAGTATGGACATGTTACACATTATTTATATTCCTTTAGTCTGTAAGGGTCCACCCATCAAAAGAATCCAAACAGCTTTTCATAAAAATTTATCCATAATGAGTGAATCCTGTTATGTGAAGTCCATCGCTCTCTGTCTGCTAACTTCTCTCATCCTGCACCCTGTTGTTTTCGTGATGTTACTTCAAAATAAAAGCGCATGTTGGCGCTAGATAAAATGAGTGTATTTGATATTATTGGATATGTTTTATACAAGTATTATTCTGTTTGAAATAAATAAACTGTTTCATAGTAGTTTCAGTTTTGTGCAAAAGGAATTAAAGGCCTGTCCCATATGGACGCCTGTTCCAAATATAGGCAGGATCAAATCAGTGATATTAGCAAATAAGAGCCCAGGCTATTAATCAAAGTTTTACGGTATGTTGAATTTGAAGTTTTTTTTGTTTGTTTTCTAGAAGATCTTTCTGCTCAGTGAAGACAGTTGGATTAAATATCTATTTTGAATTATTGGATGGAGTGTGTTTCTGATTCAGCTCAGTAAATGTAACAGTCTTCTGTAGTTGGATTTGAAGCTTAGTGCGCCAAGCTACACAACAACATTTTTAGTGTGTAAGCAAAAGTCCTCATTGCCTGAAGCCCCACTCAGGTAAATCATAACTAGCTGCCACTGATGTCTGTCTGTCTTTCAGTTTTGTGACTCCCACCTCATTTGTGTTTGGAGACGAAGACTTGACTCCAACTGAGTGCTACGCTGAAAGATTCAACTACACTTACAAGGTAAGTCTGGTTCAGAAGTTCCTTCAGGTGTGTTCACATACAAAGTCTTGAAACAATGTGAGTGAACGTTATGAGCTGGCCCTGTACATAGAACTGAGACCCCAAAATAGCGAATCCAGGAGACAAAAAAGTCTCTTCTGACCTGGTGTATCTGTTATTTTGTTTGTATGCAGGTGTTGAACTCTGGTCCCAGCAGGTCTGTGGATACTGTAGTTGACATTGCTCTACCGAAGATCCTCGCACCTTACCGACACAGACTGCTGCAGGTGGTCGACTGGCAGGTACATCCAAGACTAGCATCAGTAGTAGTGACAGAAGTAGAAGTAGCACAGTCAGTTTAAAAACTTTTTGTAGTATCTCACAGGTTTCTGAAGATACATTTGCTCGTCCATCTTTGTCAGTTAGTAGCCAGAGAAACCTAATTTAGTTAAAGAGGGCTGGTGCCTGAGGTGCTGCTGAGACGGGACAAGCTACCAGCAAAAACAATGGCAGAGGTGTAACAGGCTGAAACACCTGTCATTATGAGAAGGGTCCAGCTGTAGCCTGCAGACAACTTTCAAATATGGTTCGTCACAGAAGCCACCGTGCACAAAATGTTTACCTCGGCCACGCGGCCCATGCAGAGCCGTTAAATAAGATAAGATGTACATTATGCGTTAATATTTACTATACTATAATTATATAGTACATTACATTCATTATACTATAATTATATAGTATAGTATACTAATAATATAATTCCTTGTTATTGTTTGGAGAGCTACATGAACCATGTGACCGCGTGGTGGGATCAAAGAGTGTCAAAACCATAGATCAAAACGTCAAAACTCTCATTTACTGGCCCTCCTGCTGCCTTTGAACCACAACAACATACAGTCTAACTTTCAAAAAGTTGGCTTAGGAAAACAAGGTAAAAAAACCATTGGATGTTTTCTTCTCTATATTTAATCTTGAATTAATCTCACACAAAGATCTTTAGCCAAAACCAGAGCCGTTAAATAACATCATAATAATTAATTATAATAATAATTTTATATATTTTTTTATATATAACAACATTTACACATTTTAACTGTTTAATCGCTTTACTATTCTTAGACCATATCATTTTTTAGTTCAAAATATAGTCTTTTACAATAAATATCAATCTTGTCTTATTAAAATTAAAAAATTTTGTCGCAAATTCAACGTAAACGTTAACGTAAATCTAACCGCAGCTAAAGGATATACTGTACATGGGCCAAGATTAACGTCATCACGTTTTGTGCGCGGTGTCTTCTGGGACAAACCATATTTGGAAGTTAAACTTCCTTCACTTTCAGTCACGTCTGCGGGCTGGAGCTGGGTAGACTTGGCCATTGTGGCATTTTAACAGGACCCTGAATACCCCTTATTTCACTTTAATGTAATCAATTCTGAAAATAGTCACTCAGGCTCGCATTAGAAGAAGTGAAATTATTTACTGAGACTGGAAGTTGTTGTAGAACAAAATGAAGTGACTTTTTATTTCTAGAGAGAAACAGAGGATTTTCCCGTTCACTTGAAAACGAAAACAGAAATGTCAGAATTTCTTTAGAGCAGCATCCAGTGGCCATTAGAGGAACTGCAACATGTTTAAATATATTTCTTTGATAAATATAAACATGCTTTTCTTTAAAACCTTTTTTTTTTTTCATTTAACAAAAGAAACCACAGTTTTTAAATGTTAAATAATTCTTTATTAACTCTTAGGGAAAATTAATTTTCAACAAGAACTTTCTCAATTTAATAAAGTACTTTAATACTGGCAAAAGAATGTATCTAAACCTGGAACTATCTGATCAAAATGTAATCTGTCCAGATTTAAGGTTTTTGGCAGTTTTATTTAAGATACTTATGCTTTGTCATCAACACATGGCCATGGTGGTTGCTGATTGGGTAATGGTAGCAGTGGTGGTTGAAGTCGCAGTAGAGGTAGTGTGTTATTAAGTCCCTTCTTAAAACATACTTGAGAGCCTTTCCTGATCATATTTGACTTTATTTTATCCCTTTTATTTTTTGTATTTTACTAATTTTATATTTATCTGTATTTTAGTCTTTTCAATGTTTTCATGCTTTTATCTTGTATTGTTTTTTGTATTATTGTCTCTTGGGTATTATTGTCTTTACACTTGTTAAATCACTTTGTAACTTGTTTTTGAAAAGTGCTCTACAAATAAGGATTATTATTATTATTAATATATGCTTTCCCTCTCTGCAGACGTCTCACGGTATGTGTTCGATCAGTGACACAACTGTTTCAGTCATCGAGGACTGTGATGTCCCTGAAGCTTCCTTCATCAAACAGCTTATCTTCTTCTTCTCCTCCACCACTACCCGCAGAATGGTACACGCACACAGTAAAAACAGCCCTACACATTCATTTTCTCAGCATCTTCTTATGCAAAGCTCACACATAACACACAACGGGCAGTTGAATCACTCAATCAAATGCTAAGAAACTGCTTCATTGATTAAAAAGCCAACGGTACAACACAAGAAACATTCAATCAGAGAGCAGCAACACACTGCTACACAGCGTAACTCTGGAAAAACTATATACAGTTCCCTGATTGGCCTAGAGCGTGATTGGTAACTTAACAATACATGATGGTGCAGAAAGGAACCTACAGAAACAGGCTATTTTATTTGTCCACAATCAGGCGCTTAATGTTGACCTTTTGAACTCTTGTGGTTCGTGGGCAGAGTAGAATTTAGCCGTTCACATAAAGTAGCGGGAAAATGTGATTTATCAGTGAGGTTATTGTTGAAAAGAAAGTTCACTACAAACATTTAAAGTTGAAGAACTATTCTAGTCTGCAGTGAAAAGTATTTTCTTTAATAGCCTTGCATGGTGACTACAGTCTATCTGTCTGTCCGTTGGTCCACCACTTTGGTCCAGACTGAAATATCGTAACTACTGGATGGATTACCTTGAAATGTCATCCAGACATGCATGGTCCCCAGAGGATAAACACTAATGACTTTGGTGATCCTCCAGCATTTCCTTAAAAGTTTTCAGTTGAAATGTCTCTCAACAGTCTGCAGCCATGACAAAGTTAGACTCTTGAGAGATGTGAGGTTGTACTTGTACTTGTACTACACAGCGGTGCTTTGAGCCACATGCTAACTTCAGCATGCAAACATTATGACAATGAGAATGCTAACATGCTGATGTTAAAAAAAAACTGTTTGCCCTGTTCACCATTTTAGTTTAGCACATTAGCATGCTAACATTTGCTAACTAACAGTAAACACAAAGTACAACTGAGGGTGATGGGAATGTCTTTTTTTTTTTTTTTTTTTACTGAAAACCATCTGCCAAATTCATGGTGGCACCAGAGGAATCATCAGAGGAACACAAAAGTCAGCAGAATGCATAATCTGGGGACCATGAATGTCTTGAAAATCTTGTGCCAATCCTTCCAATACATGTTGAGAAATTTCAGGCTGGACCAAAGTGGTGGAACAACCAATACTGCCATCGCCACAGCTGCACTGCTAGTGTGGCTAGTGAGTTGTAGTTGAACATTCATCACTCCGCCACCCAGAACTACGCACTGACCTAAAGTGTGTGAACTTCAGTCGCTTTCTACGTGTGTGTGCAGTTTTGCGGCCGTGGTGATGAGGTGTGTGAGCGGTTGGTGTGTCGTCTCGGTACGCTGGAGGTGGGAAGAGATGCCATTATCAAACTGGAGATCAGACTGAACCCTGCTGTACTACTGCAAGCGCCGGTAACACACACACACACACACAGATTACTGTTTTTACTCAGACTCATATAGACACAGACAGAGCATTGACGCTGCTACAGCTGCTAACGTGCTGCTTTTACTACGCAGCGTGTAGAAATATTTTAGAGAAAACCTTGAGTTGAAACGAAGTTAAGATGACCAACACTTCCTATATAACTCAACACTTCCTGCTGCCGCGCGATAGTAAAAGCCTCAATCAGTCCTTTAAACTTTTTTAAGAAGTTGAACGACGTGGGAGGACATTCACAAGTTACCCAGCTCAGTATAAAGTATTTAGCTCCACCTTTTATCAGCTGCAACATTAAAGTGATGTGCACATTAATGCATCGTCATAATCCAATAACACGTTATTATAAAGTGGGACATGCCCCATAATGAGTATGGTTACTTTTGGTACTTTAACTATATTTTGTATTTAATGTAACTGAGTTCTACACTGTGGTATTGCTAAGTAAAAGAGTACTTGTTCCACCACTTCTTTTCAAATACAGATACCATATATCATATTTATTATTTTATTATTATTGAAGTATATTTATCAATTTATTCGCATGTCTTTTTTCTGCTCGAATGAAACAGCCAGGCTGCTTTACATTTAGAGAAACATCTGATGTCTGTCTGTGTGTCTCTGACTCAGGGTCGGCATGGTATCATGAGGTTGGAGAGCACAGCATTGATGTCAAATCCCAGAGAAAGTCCTCACACTGTCCTCATCCTCGATCAACCAGTAACACAGGTAAAAACACCTTGACACCACTCACAGCCAAGAACCAACAACACTGTAGAGTGAGTCAAAGTAGACCATCATCATCATCATCATCATCATCATCAGCTCTCTCCTCATCGAAGGTTCAACCTTGAAATTAGTTTCTCACATTAAGTGTTCAATCAAAGCCTTATGGGAGTCGTAGTTGAATGTTAACAAAGTAATCTTACTGTACTGTTATATATTGTATATTTTTGGTCTTACTAACAATCATATATTGTTTGTGGTACATTTCCAGGTGGTGGTGGAAGCTCTTTTTACCCAGAAACCCTCAACAGCAGTGAAGGTCTTCATCATCGTTGTCAGTTTAGTTTTGGGTTTGATGATCCTGTCTGCTCTCATCTGGTGTCTGTGGAAGGTAAATATTCTATATTGTTTTTTGATTTTTACATAAACACCCATCATAAACAAATATCTTTGATATTATGACATTTAATAATTGAAGAATAAATTTGCTCTCTGATGGACACCTTGTGCTGCAAATGTTTCAGTATATCACAATATAATGTGCAGATAAACTACAGTAAAGTGCAATATAATGCTAAATAATAGTACTGATAAAGTGCAGTCAATCACAATATAATGGTTGTAGTAGCAACACAGACATTATTTTTAAATATCTGTCCCTGTCTTTTTGTTTGTCCACCTGTGTGTCTCTCAGGCTGGTTTCTTTAAGAGGGAATTTGAGAAGAAGAAAGAGGAGTTCAACAGGGACAGCTGGGACTATGTTCCTAAACTCGACAAAAGGGAGAGCACTTCCTAACCCCTGACCTCTGACCTTAGGGTGGAGTTCACACTGTGACTGTGCAACAGTTTTAATGAGACATATGTGCTGATGGATGGAGCGCCGTGTATGAAAATATGGCAACTGTTTCTCTAAAACAGTAGAAAATACTTCTGCTGAATGGGATCGGCCAATGAAGTCTGTCTAGACTGTGTCAGATGGCCACACTCACGCAGACCTGTGTTGAGTGTGATGGACGATAAAATGATAAAATGTGAACACCTCCTGAACACACACAAATCTGACATTTTAAACTATTTTGCCTGATGTGCCTTCACAAGACTTGCAGCGATGCATGGAGGATCAATAAAAAGAGAACCGGAAACAATCAAATCTTCATCCAAATCCTATTAGAAGGCCTCGGGGCTTCCTGGGATCATCTATGACACTGTTATTGATGAGTCTTTTAATAGGACACAAACTGAAGGTTTGATCTCAGAGGATTGAAACCTGGGCCACGTTCAGCCCTGACAAAACATAGCTAAATGTTTATTCAAATGGAAACGGTGGTGAGTTGACCACCCTGTTGTGTTATGCAAGCACACTGCACTGCCTTTTTAATACGGTGGAGTTTATATACACGCCACTGCTGAGTAACACTTGACACACCTACCAAAGCCTGTTTCGCACCATTTTGAGGCAACCAGTCATTCAACCCCCAAAACCTTAGCAAAACAGTGCATACTGTCTTCAGATTGAAGGTGCCCCTGGCCTGATTGGCTCATGACTCTCTGGAAAATCGTTTTGTCTGTGTACATTATCTTTCTAAGTTTTTGTTGAGCAACACTTAATGCACTGGGGCTGTGTTGTACCATAGGACGTCCGTAGAACACAGTGGATGCTGTGCAGACAGAAAAGGTAGTCGATCGATGGCTGTCGGGATGTGCTGGTATAGGACTTACATAGAAAACAATCAGCACGGGTCTTTTAATGGAAGCCGAACGCCACCACTGTGTTTGCCTGTTTTTACCCTGGGATTTGTTGTTTTGAGTTCTTTTCCCTCTGAAGGCCCAGTCACACCAGCGTTTAAAACAGTGAAATTTCATGTCAGAATCACTAGATTTCCGTGGAGTCACAAAGGTCACCCACCGTTCAACTACCAAGGCGCTAAACATTTATGAACTTAGACACACGGATTTGACCAATAGGAAGCTGCCTTGACATTGCTGACCGTCAATAAGTTGATTCAGATTCTACACACCTAATATTTTTAATTAAACATGAATAACATTAGAGCCACTCTTTCCACAGGTGTTTTTGCTAATTACATTACAAGTTTTTATATTATAGTAAAGCTGTTTTCCCAATAGCCCAATTAATTAACAGATTCACACTGAAGGGGCGATGCCATCCCTTAAAAAACCTCTACATAGGCTATACCTGTGATTTCCTCCAGGTACCTCCTCTCTCCATGCCCCTTGTTTCATTCGAGATGCATTTCAGGGATTAGAACGCGTTATTTTGTTTCCCACCAGATTTTCGACAACTCTGCTTCTGATTGACTAATACTCATTGCCTCCGTTGGTTATGGTTAGGGTTATGGTTAGCCAACCAGAGGCAGAGGAATTATCAGAGTGAAAACACCCACTACATCACCAAGCTTCTGGGACTGCTGTGTTATTTTCTGGTGTGACCGAGCCTTTACCCCGTCAGATATGATTTCACACTTGTTTACTGTTTTTTTCATCTGTAGTCCGCTGTGTTTACCTCTGTTGTTAGGAAACAGTTTATGGAGATGTACTGGAAAATCATTTTGATGTGTGCAGGAAACATTGAGAACAGTGTATGGGTGGGAGCCAATCGAGCACTTCTCCTTTACTATCCTCCCTAAAAACAGATATTTGACAATAAGTAAGAATGATCAGTTGAATGTGATCAGTGAGATATTTTTGAACTTGCAATAATGACGTGCCCACATAAATATATATACAATAATAATAATTAATTTATAAAGCGCTTTTCAAGAAACTCAAAGATGCTGTACATTACTAATTAAATAAGTACATTTGAACCACATGTGCATACCACAGTTTCACAAGAACTGATCTCAGTTCACCTGGTTCAGGTGAACTCAGGTGTACTGTCTTTGTTGACACAATGGTTTGAATAAAGCACCAAATTCTTAGGTCAACCTGATAGCAGTAAAGATGCAACTTGTTGGGTAACAGACAGGTGGCAGAGCCAGGAACAAATTGAGCCACAGGGTTGAAAAACAAATGTTTAAAGTATTTAAAATATTCAGCGTTGTTTTACTGTCTGTATTTTGTGAAAACAGACATTTAAAACTGCTGCTACCTTCACTTCTGTTTATGTATTTAGTATAAAAGTACATCACACAGAGAGATGTTTTTAATATTTTAATAAATTAGTTTTATTATGTTTATGTAAAGTTGTTCAGCACTGGAGAGTCTCACTGCTTTTATCAACACTTTTCTATTAAAATATAGGATTTTCTATTTAAAACAACAACTTGTACTTCTACTTTTTTTCTCATCATGATCACAGCTGTTACTCTAAAAATCTGCATTTTCTCAGTACAAAAGCTTAAAAGTTTCTGAATAAAAATAGCCATATTAGGTAAAAACAGTTATTTCAAAATATAAAACTTTTACAGTCTTTGGACACATTAAGTCCGATTCTGCTTGTGTTGCAGCAACATTTTTACATCACGTGTTTATAGTTTCAACAAACTAAACACAGATGAATCTTTGCCACAGAAACTGGACAAGATAAAACAAAATGAAAATTGTAATAAAAATAAAAATAGGCAACACAAATTAGATTAAAGTCCTCTGAGAAGAGCTGGTGATATTGTAAAATGTAAACATTAATTTGGATATAAAACATTCATCTTTGTCCTCATCAATCGGTTCTAGAAGTGGTAAACCTTTATTTCATAATGCACATGCAATTGGTTAGTCATTTTAAGATGGCTTACAGGGAACCTTATTGGTTATTAAAGCTGCAGTAATCAATTAAAAATGTACACTGCTCAAAAAAATAAAGGGAACATTAAATAACACATTCTAGATCTGAATGAATGAAATAATCTCATTAAATACTCCTTTCTTTACATAGTTGAATGTGCTGACAACAAAATTACACAAGAATTATCAATGGAAATCAAATTTATCAACCCATGGAGGTCTGGATTTGGAGTCACACTCAAAATCAAAGTGGAAAACCACACTACAGACCGATCCAACTTTGATGTAATGTCCTTAAAACAAGTCAAAATGAGGCTCAGTAGTGTGTGAGGCCTCCACGTGCCTGTATGACCTCCCTACAACGCCTGGGCATGCTCCTGATGAGGTGGCGGATGGTCTCCTGAGGGATCTCCTCCCAGACCTGGACTAAAGCATCAACTCCTGGACAGTCTGTGGTGCAACGTGGCGTTGGTGGATGGAGCGAGACATGATGTCCCAGATGTGCTCAATTGGATTCTACGTCTCCTGATGTACTGGCCTGTCTCCTGGTAGCGCCTCCATGCTCTGGACACTACACTGACAGACACAGCAAACCTTCTTGCCACAGCTCGCATTGATGTGCCATCCTGGATGAGCTGCACTACCTGAGCCACTTGTGTGGGTTGTAGACTCCGTCTCATGCTACCACTAGAGTGAAAGCACCGGCAGCATTCAAAAGTAACCAAAACATCAGCCAGGGAGCATAGGAACTGAGAGGTGGTCTGTGGTCACCACCTGCAGAACCACTCCTTTATTGGGGGTGTCTTGCTAATTGCATATAATTTCCACCTGTCTATTCCATTTGCACAACAGCATGTGAAATTAATTGTCAATCAGTGTTGCTTCCTAAGTGGACAGTTTGATTTCACAGGAGTGTGATTGACTTTGAGTTACATTGTGTTGTTTAAGTCTTACCTGTATTTTTTTGAGCAGTGTATCAATTAATGCAGCTTAAACGTAGGTGTCATGAACAGGAAGCTATTTTTGTGTTCTTGCTACTTTGAATGAAACCTCTTCATTAGCTCACATCGCCATAGAAAGACTAACGACCTAGAGAGGGCGCTGAGTTTTTCTGCTGGACTCAGATGCAGCTGCAGGAGACGGTCGACTCCGCCTCGTCCACCTCCTCCCCGTACAGAGTGATGAGCTGTGGGTGGACCCTGACGCACCACGTACACAAATTATGTAATGTCCGTAACACAGTTTATTGTTTACTTTTAAGTCCTAAAACTATATAAATGTTTTATTGACCAAACGAATAGCAAAATACATAAGTATTTATGAATATTCTAAATATAAGTATATATTTTTTGAGCATCATACCTGACGAGCACCTCGTTTGCGATCTCCACCAGCTCTCCGTCGATGTTCCAGGGGAAGGCCGCCCCCTCTGATTGGATGATGGGCGAGGATTTGGAGTCAGCCTCTTCCTCGCTCTCCTCCTCTGACCAGCCAATCATCGACCGTGGGCGAATCCTCACCGCAGACACAGTGTGAGTCTCCACGAAGGGGAAGCTGAACTGCACAAGGACAATCAGACAGTTAGACTGACAAACCAATCAGGAGAGACTGCAAGGACTATGTGTGTGTGTGTGTGTGTGTGTGTGTGTGTGTCATCGCAGGTCAAAGGTCAGCTGAGGAGGATAGAAATGCCCATTAAGATCCTCATTAAGCTCCTTGTTAATCTGGAGGAGTGCCTTGGTTTCTTCCTCAACTGTAACACCATGGAGCTCCAACAGGGGGCAGCAAAGACCAACAGACAGACAGACAGACAGACAGACATACTCTCTGTCCTGTAAATAAAGTGGCAATAGATACTAGTAAGAGCTGTTAGTGTGTATGGCAACGGGGTAAATACCTAGGGAAAGAAGTAAGAGAACTACTACTGCAGTTCATACAAAACAAATTGTAAGGAGATAGGAGAAGAAGAGCACAGGAAGTGTTAGAGTGTTAGAGCTATATTTCTGAGAAATATTGTAAATTTTACTCCACTAGTACTACTAGTAAAAATTTGGTCTACCTCAACCAACTTCAACAATAAAAAGCTGCTTAAAATTAAAGTAATGATATAATAATAGTATGCAGTATGTCATGAGATATACTATACACACTCACAGGGGTAATTTCTCTGTATTGAGTTCTCTGACTTAATAAATTTTCCTGAAAATATTTACGAACTTCTACTTCTATATATTAAGCAAAGGATCTAAATACTTCCTCCACCACTGCAGTAGTCAGGTTTCTACATGAATACGGATCTTTACTTACTGGAATCATTTCTCTTATCTACCCTGCCTGTGACTCCAATAAAAGTGATGGGGGACAAAATCAACAGCCCTCATTCAGCAGTCTGAGTTAGACACATCAAGAGGCTATCTTGCAAAGTGCTTTTAGTACAAAATGTCCCCTTCATGTTACTATCCCTCCTCTGCAGCTCAGCGTGGAAACACAAACAGAAAATGTTGCTGTAACTTAAGATGTACACTTTACACATCTGGTTTACTTTCAGTTTTTCACACACACACGTCGGCTGCTCCACCAGGACGCCCCATCTTGTCATGTTTGACACTCCGTCCGTTAAGATGGAGGCTACCAGGATGTAGGTCAGTGAGTAAACAGTCTGTTTACCGTGCAGGACAGTAAACGCCACACTGTCAGTATATTTAGTAAGTGGGTTAGAGTGCGGTCTCACTGGCCAGGCCAAGCCAAGCTGAACTAGGCTAATCTACTAAGTAGTTTGCTTTTTTTGGCGAGGTCAAGAGTGTGACATGTCAACAACTGACAACACAAGCCACGTTAGGGATGGCTTCACGTAGCTGGCTCCATTTTGGATCCGGTTCTCGGCCAACATAATACTTGGATTTATTAAGCTCTGACGTGGACGTTGAACATCACCATGAGTCAGTCCTGTCAGCTGAAGTGTGTGTGTGTATGTGTGTGTGAGAAACTTAAAATAAACTAATTTCTTAAACATTTTATCTCTCCTCACTCTTTTCATTAGCAATTGAAAACATTCAGGAAGCAGCTTCTCATTTTTAATTCAGCTGTAGTTAATTAACATCAACTAATTAACAGCTAACGTGTAAAGTTTGTCTCTGAAACAACACATCACTCTTTAACATCACTGAACGTGTGGACTTGTGTTTTTGTAGTTCAACAGAAACATGTCATGACAGTCATGACTCGCCTCGAGCAAGCTGTGAACACAACATTGATATATCATCATCTTTTAAAGGTCCAGTGTGTAATATTTTGGATGATCTATTGACAGAAATACAATATACATATATAAACATACACAGCTATGTTTTCAGTGGTGTTTTAAAGACCCTACATAATGAACCGATATGTTTTTATTACCTTAGAATGAGACATTTCCATCTATATACACTGTGGATTCCCTTACATGGACGTCGCCATGTTGCGCCGCCATGTTTCTACAGTAGCTCAAACGGACAAGGACATCACTATGTGGAATACATACAAGAAGAAGAAGGAAGTAGTAGTAGTAGTAGTAGTTGTCTGGTTTATTAGAAGTAAGAAGTGAAGTGAAATTTGCATAAACAGAGGACCACACATAAGCGGTGACAAATTGTGCATTCATGTGGTGTCGGAATAATCAGAATTTTTTTTCCTCAAATTTTATTGCAAAAAAGAGGAATAAAGTGTTCATGGGAAAGAAAGTATTCAGAACAGTATTAAAATCTATAAGAAGACACAAATAATAAAATCTTTGCTGGGGGTAGTCTATATTATAGAAAGATATTAAAAGAGGACCATATGTTAACAGTTTTCACAGCCTTTTTGTTGTTGGATTAAAAAAATATTTAATTGATATAAGACATTGTAGATGTCTGCATGTTGTTTATACACTCTGATAATGCTAATCGAACACATCTTTGTAGTAGCATCCATGTTGATTCCGCATTTAATTTAGGAGCACATGAACACAACTCAGGAAATGGGACCATCCAAGGAGCACGTGAATGCACAGTGAACCGTGGTTGCAATTTGCAACCCTGACCACTAGATGCCACTTCAACTTACTCACTGAACCGTTAAGCTGGTAAATGCTCCAATAGAGAGGTTTTCAAAGTGTGAGCGCCTCCCCAGGGGGGCTCAAAACAGTTTCAGGGGAAGCTCAGTGAATGGCAATGAAACAACATTACATTAGTTATCAAAAGGAGATCACATAGAATGGCCTACGTGTGTGATTTGTTTAAAGAGAGAGTTCAGAGATACAGTCCTTTTGGGGAACCCATTTTATCAGCGTCAGAAACTAATAAATGCCTTAGGACAGACCTTTGTGTTTATTTTGTGTAGTGTGAAGTTATGTCGAACAGTAATATCAGGCTATCTTGGCTCAGTTGTTAAGTGTGTATGGGATATAATAACATAATCATGATCCTATAGGCATCCAGGAATTGAGCGAAACTGAGTAAATAAACTAAGGGGAGGGAGACTTTGAAAACCCCTGCTCCACTAATTGTGTCTGTCTGCTGTTTAGTCCTGAGCAGGTAGTGTACTGCAGGTTTTTAGAGGTTTTTCACTTTCTTCTGCAGCCAAAAGTGCGCTATGACATTGTAGAATATAAAAATAAAATAATGTTGTTTCCAGTTTGTCCTGAAAGTAAAGAGAGGAGGTTGATTGAAAGCTGTTCTCACCTGTCCACTAGAGCTGCTGTATCTCTTCAGGTGTTTGATGAACTCTGACCTGGAAGTGTTTCCTACTGCGATCAATGCTGCGCTCCCATTTGCCAACCTGTCACACACAGGAAGTGATAGAGAACATTCAGTAGCAGAAATGTAATCAAATTACCAGCAGCTGAACTCAGCTGACTTTAACATTCTCAGAAGGATTAGCTGTTCGTCATACACCCATGTACCTGGTGTTGGGAGCCAGTCCTTGAGGTGCGTGTGGACTCAGACAGGGGATGGACATGATGCTGATGCTCAGATACAGGCCCTGATTGGTCGTCCAGGACTCCCCTTCTACACCGACCAATCACAGAAAGAAAAGCAATAAATCAAACTGGCTGACAGAGACGGAAATCTGTGTGTCTGAAGTCTAAACACAGGCAAGAACCGGTCTCACCTGACTCTGGGTCCTGTTCCTGGTCTCTGTGAAAGAGATCAAATTTAGTTTTGAACATGGACAGACAGTTATGTTTATTTGGAAGAAAATAAATATAACAAACTCACATTTATAAACACAATACTGCAATTCAAACCAGGAAACCAAGAAATCAATAATTAAATCAGTAATAAAATAAGTTGTTGAGCCAGAAAAACAGTAGTTATTACAACTTTTTAAATCAGTTATTAAAGCACAGTGATGTTAAAGTGATCCCTGTGAGTCCCTGTAGCCCCACCTCGGTAAATAATCACCAGCCACCACCGGTACAGAGCTTTGAGCCGTAAACAACTGCGTACTGCTTTGTTTCACACAGTGCTAACGTTGTGTGTGTGTGTGTTTCTCACCGGTGTTCGGACAAATACCTGTTTGACTTATTCACTGGTATAAAAGACAGCTGACAGTCCTCTGGTCTGAGGGAGAGAGGGAAGAAAAAAGACTAAGAGACTAAAAGTGTGCAGCCATGCTAGCAGCTCTCTGAGGTTATACATAGGCTCGGGTGCTTGAGATAAATGTAACATCTGCATGCTAACATGCTCACAATCACATACTAACCTGCTGATGTTTAGCAGGTATAATGTTCACCATCTTACTTTAGCTTGTTAGCATGCTAACAGTTGCACCACGGAAATCTGTACCATATTTCATGGTGATCCATTAAATACGCTTCTCTTTAGAGTTCCAGCAGTCATGTTACTCTGCCACAAACCATTACCAGAAATGGAAAAGCGTGAAATGTTGTAATAAAAAAAAGAATTTGTTACAAAAAAACAAAACAAACGCTGTCTATGAAGATTCTCAGTCATCCAGGTCATAGTTATCCAACAAAGGTTAAAGTCATGGGCAACTGGACTTGGTCCAGGTTAAAGTCCAGTTGCCCTTGACTTTTTTTCAGCTGACCACCTGTCACTCATAGCAGCCACTCTTTATTATTAATAACTTATAAGCATTAATATAATTTAAATTTGTGAGTTATATAAACATTCATCCAAGGAGGTTGCCGCTTGTTAAAAATGTAATTTTTGAATTATGTAACTTTTAGTGATACACTTTTTAAAATCTAAATTCAAGTCAATTTTATCTAAAAATCCCTACATTGTCTCAGAGGGCTTTAAAATCTAAACAATATATGAACAACATATGACCTCTTAAATAATCAAACTTCAAATAAATATAATTAAAAAAAAATGTAAAAACTTGTGTGTACATGTGTGTGTGTGTGTGTGTGTGTGTTACCTCAACCTAGCCAGTGTCTTCACCAGAGCGTACTCTCGTCGCCGCGATGACGGCATCCACCTCTTCTTCTCTGCCCGTGCTAAGCTCTGCCCACCAAAGCCAAACATGGCAGAGAAACCGAAACGCACCAACTGGCCGAGAGACGAGAAGCTGCACATGTCCACCTGCTGCAGGTGACCTGCAGACAGAGAGAGGGAGAGGAAATAAATACTGATGAAAGATAATTTCAAATTATGAATATTTATTTAAATATTTTACACACACGCACACACAGACTATAAGAGGAAGAGGTCATATGTTGAGAAGCTCATTAATATTCAAAGAAATTGCAAAACTCCAAATATGGGCAACAAAAATAGGTCAGGAGTGTGTGTGTGTGTGTGTGTGTGTGTTTTGGTTAATATAAACTTCAGTGGAATCACATCTCTGGTTGTTATTGCTCCAGTTTGACCAGTCTCTGGTGGTATATGAGTCCAGTCGGGACAGTTTCAATAGCAGCATAATTCAGGAGACATTTACAGCAGATTTAGGACAAATATGTAAAGATCTGTCCCTGTTAATGTTACTAATATTGTAACGCCTTTAAATTACTAATGCTGTGATTTGACTGTTTCTTTCATTCTGTGGGAACATTTGAGCAAACAGAAACATGAGATTTGTCAAAATACATTAAAACTGTCAAACTCAAGAGTTGGCTGGAAAACAGGTCACTCTACTAAGATTATTATTGTCCCAATGAGACTCCTCCTTTACAGCACACATATATAATTGGCCCAGCTGATGTAAAGCAACAATAAACACCCTTTTCAGAAGGTTTCTGATTGGTCAACATTATGATATTCAGTTTTCTATTATAAAAATTATAAAAGTTGTGTATTTTACTAGTACTCTTGATGGGCTGATGAATATGTTGCATTGTTACGCTACTTTTTGGTGGCTTTGAACATCCATCACGAGCATAATTTGCAAGGATTATCTACATGTTCAACCACTCCTCCAATATCTCCTCAGTTTCATTAATGTGTGGCGGAGCCCAGAAAACAATGTCAACCAACTCTGTCTGTCCGGCTGAAGAAATATCGGATACCTGCACTCACTCACAGTCAAAGCTGCATGAAACTGGGTGCTACACCCAAGACTGTTTATTTTCCCACAGCCTGTGAACGCAGCACAAACCACGGAAGTAGCTGGAACACAAATATGATCAACCTCATCAACCTGATTTCACCGGTAAGACCATTGAATAAGATGCTCCACACACACACACACACACACACACACACAAACACACACACACACACAGCATGCCATCTGGCCACATACCTGCTGTAACCTACTGAACTGCTGTCTCCCCACCTGTCTGTCTGACTGCATGTCTGTCTCTCTGGATAGAATCTGATTTCCTCACCATATGGCACGTTGTCAGTGTGTGTGTCTCAGCTTTAATCCTGAGACGGTCAGTCTGACAGTCAGTGTGTCAGTGAGATCATACCTGCAGCGCTTCTTAAATGTGCAACCAATATTTATTTTGACCAGCGAGAAATACACTAGAGGGTTTCATTTATAAACAAAATAATGGCCTATAGCAAAAGGCGTTGATTCATCTCGTTCCGTCCTGGGACACTGCTTCATGGTTTGGCGACTGAGAGGGAGGAGCTAAGCAGCTTAGGTCTCCCAGCCACAATGGTTCCACTAAAACAAATGAACCTCCTCCATTTCCAGTGTATATGAGAAGCTTTGGTGCGTGTTTTCAGTTTAATGCAAAAGCAGTGCCATCGACCCGTGCCCTTGCCTCCAGCAGGATGTGTCACGCCTTGGGGGCTCTGGGGCAGTGATACCAGCCGGCTATGGCGGCTTCGATCGCTTGACAGCTAGAAGACACCCAATTGTGATGTGATATTATGATTTTATGGAAGGTTTGCAGACTTTACATACTCTTGAACCCTTGAAGGAGGCGTGCCTAGGTATTTTGTCCAACTAGACAGCTCTCCTTTTAGCCTCTTGTCACAACTACAGGGCAGGTGACTCAACCCAAAGTCATCACATTCACCTGACCATAGGCGGAAATTGCAGGGGGGACCCCATGTGAAGGTTGTCCCCCCCTAAAAAATCATTGAATAATAACATATACTTAAAATAACTATGTAAGTAGTAAAACAATACAAAAAGTTTAGAAATATTTTGAGTCCTCCCTCCCTTGCCTCGCCATTTTACAGCTTGTAATCGTTGCTGACTGGCGTCAAATATCCGATTTTGCCGGTCACCTTGAACATTACACGCACAGTGTTTCACGTCATGCACACAGCGACACAAACAGTAACTGGCTATTCTCACAGCCACACACACATGCTAAACATGTCTTAGGTGTGAAAGTTCTTCACTGAAGTGAAGAAGACAATTTAAATCTGCAGAGAAACACTCAGAAAGAGACGCGTTCTTATATTAAGTTAGAAGACAAATTGCAGGCAAAGCAAAAGTGAACACAGCTGTTGTCATTCATACCACGGTGGCTCTATCGGTAATTAATAACAAGCCAATAACAAGTATAGGTGCATGTGTGTCTGAAGTGCAAAGCAAAGTGAGCAGATTACTGTAGTTTGTGAGTAAACACTAAAATAAGGTGGAGAATTAAGTAGAATGAAAATAGTGAGATTAGAAATAAAATACTAGAAATAGGGTAATGTATTCTTTCAAATATTTTCAATTAATATATATTTTAAAATGGTCTAATTTCTTTGTTGGATTTTATATGTAGCTTTGTAGCAAAACAGCTCCCTCCAGTGAAAATGTGAATGTTATCAAATAATCAATGTTTCATTATGACCATACAATTGAATGGACGCCAGTGAGAATAGCCAATGTTTATGCTGGTGCAGATGGGGAACCTGATAAAAAGAAAAGTTACAAAGATGTTTGTGTGTGCTGTCAGTTATAGTTCGTAAAAAGAAAGAATCAGAATCGGCAGGTCAGACCTTTGAATAATCGGTAATTGGAATCGGCCAGAAAAAATGCTATCAGTGCATCTCTTACTACAGCTAACACAGCGACAAGCCTGTGTGTGAACTGATCTTGGGTTAATGTTGTAGATCTACCGTTGTGTAGGTTTTGCTCAGTTTGATGTTAGGTGGCAGATCAGCTGCAGTTGAACTAAGAGACCTCCTCTGTCCCAGACGAAACCTAAAGTACTAGTATGTGGAGGATGCAAGATAATTAGTCATATATAAGTCATATTTAAACAACTATTGCTTTCAGCGCCGCCACTCGCTTTCCAGAAAAGAATTAATGCAGACAGCAACATTGTATACATGACATAACAACATACAATACATAATAATACACAAGAAAACACACATTACATGCGGTCACATGGTGGGATTTTTTGAGGTGACATGTGAGGAAGAGAAATAAAGAGGGCGGTTTCGAGGCAGTCAGTTCGAGGGGGGGGGGGATGGGGAGGGGGGTGTATGGTGTGAGTATATAATAAAGAAAAATAGTAGTAAGGCTTCCCTCTGTGTACACGTATCTTATACAAGTACAATTTTGGCTGTATTATTTCTGTCCCCTTCAAAAATTTTGCTTGAGAAATTTTATGTTTATTGTCCTCCCCAACTGTAAAATGAGATTTACGCCCTTGGGCCCCCCTAACACTCAGGCGAGAAATCCATCCATCTCAGGGATATGGCTTTTGGTTTTACTTGTATGGGGAAGAATGACAATAAACTTGGCTTGACTTAATATACTGAATCAAAAAAAAAATCATCTAGCCAAACACGCATCATGTTTACTCCAGGTTCCCACAAAAAAACACGGCATGACATGAGGACATGATCTAGGTGTCCTAAATGGTAGCTACAACACTGTGACACCTGAAACATGAGTGACATAGACAATAATGGACTCGCAACCTTCACTAAGTTTATCATATCAGGACACTGTGGGGTATTATAACAGACAGTTCAGGTATGTTTACCTTGGTTGTGTCATGAACACACCTGAACTCACCTGTAGTTACCTGGTGTCCGTGGGAACAGCTTCCTGACTGGGAATTTTAACTGTTTGCTATTGTTCAGGAATTAGTCTTATTTGTGCCACTAAATACTCCCATCTGTCACACACACACACACACACACACACACACAGCTCCAGAGTTAATTAGTGTTAATGAACCGCCATCACACCACAACCTGTCATTCAAACTCAGCAACCTGCCCTGCTGCCAGCTGATTGGTCGGCAGGTTTATCTGAAAGGAAGCAGGGTGAGGTGAATGAGGCGGGGTGACAGTGAGCAGAGTAAACCTGTGATTTAGAGTGAAACTGATCCTGCTGTTAGACATCTGTCTGCTCCCTCCCTCAAGAGCCAAGTCATACCGTCTGCTCTGTCTGTGGTTTTGTTTGTTCTCAAACAGTCTGAGAGACCGTCAGCCAATCACATCCAAACTTAACAAGAACAAAAGTAGCTGATTCCCAACTTACACGATTTAGTGTCACATACATACAGTATATCCGTTTTACTTCCTGTCAACTGTACAGTAACGTTACTGTACACTTTTCAGTTAGTTTTGTGCATATTGTTAATAGCATTTATTGTTCATTTTTGTAGTGTTTTGGGGGCATTTTTTGCCTTTATTTGATAGGCTAGTGGATAGAGAGGAAAGGGGGCGACATGCAGCAAAGGGCCACAGGCTGGAATCGAACCTGGCCGCTGCAGTAAGGACTCAGCCTTGTACATAGGGAAAAACGCTCTACCAACTGAAGTAACTGCATTCCTGTACATAGTGTTTTTGATAATCATCTCAGTGTCTTAGATAACTGTTAGAGACGGTAGTTAGTCACTCAGTGCAGCACCAATCTCAACTGTTTTTCACAGCTTAGCTAATGTCCTGACCTGACTAATAGATTTAGAACAAGCAGAACCCACCCAGGACAATGCCACTATAGAGCTACAATAAGTAGTTGCCACCCAGGACAATGTACTGCTACAGATCTGGAACAGAAAGGAGCCAATCCCAGCCCACACAACTATTGATTTACAAATTGTAAAACCCACCCAGGAAGAACATGTAGGTCCCACAGACATTGAACAGGTAGAACCTATCCATGTCAATGTGATTACAGATTTAAAACAAGTAGAACCCACCACAGCCAAAGTGATTATAGACCCAGGTTGTTGTACCTATAGAACTAGAACAGGTAAAACCTACCAAGGACAATGTGCAGAGCTGCAGTGACTGGATCTCTGACTCCATGAACAGAACAGGAAACCACATCTGTAGAACCTGTCAAGATGGACAGACAGACAGTCTATAAAACACTCTGTCGGGCAGGTTCTACATAACGTTGACATATGTGTTTCAGTACAGTGTTGGTCTAGAGAGTGTGGATTGACATGCTGTGGATTCATATGAGGATTTGTCCGCAATCTCACCAGCAGGAATGATTCCAAGTGGCAGCACTGGTTTCACTGGTTTCCTTGGATAATCAGCATCCAGCTGAGCCCTGAAGACAAGAGCGTGACACAGCTCCGCCACCGAACCGTCCCCACCAACACACACCACCCTGACAGACAAGTGGAGACAAAACAGTATAAGTACAGGTAGAGTGCCAGGTAGAGTCAGCAGATAGAGTATGAGTTGTATCTTTGTACAGTTGTCTCATCATCTAGGTCAAAATAAAACAAATTTTACTGTGAAGTTGAAGACATTTATTTTCACTGATTAAAACTTCTGTTGCAGGAAATCCAGTGATAGTGAACGCTTATAAAAGTGATTTTTGGCGCCTTGAACAGGTATTCAATAGGAGGTGTGGCTTCTCCACAGGACCATTGTGGAGTACTTCCTTACTAACAATTGTTTACTTACAGATCCCGATTTAAATCAAACATCTGCCAATATTAACTATATACCAGACTTATTCAACTCACATAATCAATAGAAGCCTCAATGCTTGTGTTTCAGGTCTTAAGTCATCAAGTTTACAAAATAAAATTCAGCTCCGTATAGCGCCTTTCTAGTCTTATCGACCACTCAAAACACTTTTACACTACCTCGCATTCACCATCCAGAGTGCTCAAACAGAAACTAACATTCTCACACTGGAAAACCCTGGTTTGTACCAACAATTGTCTTATTATTACTGTCAGGCAAATTTGTCATTTGTGACATGGGCTATGTAAATAAAATTATAGTCGTTATAGACAATACTAATAATAACTTGATTGACATTTTAAGGAGCTCATTGAAAAGCGAGAAGGTTCATCTTCAGAGTCTGTGTTTGCAGTAAATGTGAGGTAAAGAGCCTCCGCCCCTCCCCCCTCTTCCTGTGTATGGGATTACCTGAAGCTCCGGTCCCCACAGTGACAGCCAGCCTAATTGGCAAATGTAGGTTTCAACCAAATCCTCACCAGAGCAACCTCACACACAGACACACACTCAGCAGCTAGCTTAGCAACGCCGAGCTAATCTTCTCTAAGCACATTAAGCTTTATGAGGGCTGAGCACAAAAGCTGCTTACACACAGACACGAACACACAGAGACCGTCACAGATAGAGATGAGAGTTTGATCAGTGTTTTTGTACTTGTAGTTGTGGCTATTGTTGTATTATTTGTTTTAGAGGCACAAATATTATTTTCACTGTTAATAGTGAGGTTAGCTCAGTTAGCAGTTGGTGTTTGACCTCACCTGTGTGGAAAGTGTGTGCGTGTGGATTTAATCAGTCTGGGTCAGTGTGTTTTAATGTCTAGTGCCTCTGACGGTAAACTGCTGATTAATTATCTGGTTCAGTTCAGTCTGTTATAGAAGGATGATGTCACAGTTTGATCATGACATGCTTACTTTCATGTAATTTAGTGAGTAAAATGTAATATATATTGCACTTTTTAAAACAAAGTTACACAGAAAAATAAACAACATGCAAACAGTATATAACATGTTATATTACATTACAGCCCCATTGCAGGTAAGACAAGTTGGTTGGCAGAGCAAGTATTTTTTAAAGCAGTTTACAGACTCTGCTGATCTAACAGGGGGTGGTGGGGAGGACTGTTCCAGAGTAACGGCAAAACAGCAAGTGCCCTTAGATATGGGAGGGTAAATAGTGCACCTTGGTCTGAAAATCTGAGTGGCCTAGAGGTGGAACGACGATGTAAAAGTTTGGAAATGTACGGTCCTTAGAGCCTTGTATGTGATAATCAAAATCCTATCAATTTTGTACTTTACAGGGGGCCAGTGGAGGGATGCAAGGGTTGGTGTGATGTGTGGTTGGTTTTGGTTAGCAGCCTGGCTGCAGCGTTTTGCACGAGTTGCAAACGGGGCAGGGCTGTTGGCTGACAGGAGAAAAGAACACTGCAGTAGTCAAGACGTGAAAAAATTACGATATGCATTAGTTATTTCTAGATATCTGGGAGATGTTAGGGATGGGGGAAAAATTAGTTCAAGTAAAAATCGCAATTCATATCTTCTAAGATTCAGAATCGATTCACAACTTACAAAAATATATTAAAAAATTTTAATGCCTTAATTTAATTAATTAATTAAAATTTTAAGTATAGTATCCTTTCTGGCTCCCGTAATACACAGCTGCATCAACCGGTGTGGCTGCTAACATTAGCCCTTTACTAAAACTGAAACAACTTTTGAGTTGTAGCCATTTCTATAATTTTCACTCTCTTACTTACATGAAAGAATAACATCATCAGAATATTAGAAATAAAATAATTTTACACGGAATGTCCGGCAACAAATTCAATTTATAGCAGGAAATCACGACTTTTCCGGGAAAAGAGTGAAATCACAGGAGAGAGAGACAAGTGAAGAGAGACTAACCCATTATATTCATCCAGCTTGCATTCCTTCATCACTGAGAGAGCATGACCCTTCCTCTCTGTCACTGGAGAGAGACAGACAGGAGGAGAGAGGGAAACAGATGGAGAGACATTGAGATGGATAGTGTTCATGTATATGTGTGGTCACATGTACACAAGTGTGTGTTTGGCTGCCAAAAAAAAGTGGGACAACGGATATCACACCATCTGCTGAGAGGAGGAGAGGAGAAGATATGAGGAGGGTGGAAAAAAGGAGAGGAGAGAAGGAGGAAAGAAGGAGGGGAGGGCAAACCAGGAGAAGACGGAGAGGAGATAGACAAGGAAAGGAAACAAGAGAGGAGAGAATAGAAAAAGAGAAGATAAGAGGAAGAGGAAAGAAGGACAGGAGTTGAGGAAAGGAAAGGAAACATAGGAAAGGAGAGGACAGACGTGATGAGGAAACACCGAGTGGGGAGGAGAGGAGAGGAAAGGAGAAAACACAAGAGAAGAGAGAAGAGGAAACACAGGAATGGAGAGGAAAGGAAAGGAAAAGAGAAGAAACAAGAAAGGAGAGAAGAGGAGAAGAAACAGGAGAGCAGATAAGAGGAAACACGGGGAAAAGATGAAATAAGGAGAGGACAGGAAAGGAAAGGAAAGGAAAGGAAAGGAAAAGAGAGGAAATAAGAGAGGTGAGGAGAGAGGCAGGTTGTCTCCTTCTGTCACAACAGATGGGCTAAGCTCCGCCCCCTGTATCAGGTTACCTAGCGACCAGAGACTGCCATTAACTCTGACCTTTGGACTTTCTCCACACACACACACACACACAGATTTCACATTGTCTACTCAGATGTCAGTAAAAAGGGACTGGTAGATCACAGTTCTGCTGCCCGTTACACATTATTTTATTACAATACATGTGAGGTGTGACATCATGCAAAAATCTACAGTGGCCTCGCCCACTGTCAGTCTAAAATAAAAACCACTGGTGTTTGTTTTAAAGATGAGCAGCAGATAAACGAACAATTGGGTTGACTGACCGGTGATGTCAGTGCGGACATCAGCCATCTTGAAGAGCGGAGCCACATGTTCTCTGTAGATGTGAACGGCCTCCTTCTTGTGGCTGCTGGGGTTGATGAACACCTTTAGATACCTGGGACGACTGCTGAACCCTACACCCACACACACACACACACATCCACATCCACAGAGAGTGAGCAGCTACAAACACTAAAGCTGATGATACACGGGGCAACTTTTTGAGCAATGTTGCTAGTCCGACTATGTTTTGAACGGATAGTGGCAGAGCAGGGCAGGGGCCGGATTGGTGGGGGAAGGGGATTACGGTAATAATCTTTATTTATTACCATTGACGACAACGTTGCCCTGCACGATTGCTCTAAAAGTCGCTTTGTGTATCATCAGCTTCAGGCTCATTGTCAACAGGTTTAGTTTTGCTGAAAATAAAAGGTGACAATTCAAAATATATAATGCAGTAATCAATAGCTTCTTTTTTCTTAGCTTAAGTAACTTTTTTGGACAATGCAATTTGTTTCTTCCTTATTTACAATGCATTGCATGTTTTGTTATTGTGCAAATAAATCTTTCTCAAAGCATTTTCATTAGTTATTTAACATTTGTTGTTGCAAGATATTTTTCAGAAACGCCATGGGTGGCTGTAACGACCATGACGACTGTCGTTACCACAGCCAGGAGCACTAACGAACCAGCAGTATCGACGATCCTAGCTAATGATCCCAGAGGTTAAATAGCTGAGTTTCCCTGCCAGTCACTCAGAAATGAAGAAGTCTCTTGGATGAGGGACGAAACGTCTTCTAGTATCTTCAACTAAGTCCAGTTGCTCTTGACCTTAACCTTCGTTGGATAACTATGACCTGGATGACTGAGAACCTTCACAGACACCTTTTCAGAAACGCTTTTAAAATGATGGGGACAAAATCTGCCACTTTTTAAAGTTGAGCATATCAGCTAATAATCTCATGGTGCAATTTTCATGTTTTTTTTCTCCAGATAACAAAATGGATGATTGTTTTGAAGAGAGGTTGTGTGAGGAAATACACCACATAATTCCTCTTTGAAAGAACACAAAGCCGAATGGCATTAAACTCCTGGTGAGAAATTGCATAAACGCTTGTGAGAGATGAAAGCGCCTAATGCTCATGCTTCCTCTTCTTCTTGATTTTTATGGCGGTTGGCAAACAACATTATGGTGCATTACTGCCGTGTGGATTGGGAAATGTGAATGCATGGAACACCAGACTGGGACCGTTTGCACCTTTTCTCGGTTTTATTTCACTGTAAACTTTATATCTTTGCGTTTTGGACTGTTGTTTGTGAGCTCTGTGAAATTCTGATAAGCATTTCTCAAGATTGTCTATTAATAGATTCATTTAAAATAAATCAACTGAAAATAATCACTATTGCCACACTACAGCTGACCCTGTCTTTTGAGACAGTCATCAGCTTTTACTAATCCCTGTCTGGAATGAACCCTGATCACTATACACTTTGTTATCATCATCGACAGCAAACAGCTAAACACACTACACTTACAGCTTAAAGTCCTGCATGTGACCTTAGTTTGAATCAACAACCACCTTGTATTTGTCACATAAATTCAAAAACCAAACTAGTACAAGATTGTACTTAGAAGAGTAGACACCTGTGTAACATCTGATGGAGGCCTGTTTGATGCAAAATATTCAGAATATCATCAACACTGAAGAATCTGTCTCTGTGTCACACAGAGTGAGCCCCTGTCCAGCTCATCATTAGGCAGATTCAGAGACCGCATTATAAATCCCCATAGACCAGCACAGATCAATATAGACACTCTCTCTCTCTCACACACACACACACACACACACACACACACACACACACACCAGCTCCATTATCCAGATCATTACTATAATCTGCTCCCAAAAGACTGTAACCTCGCCCTGTTAATGACCCCCCCCCCCCCCACACACACACACACACAGAGTGCACCTCCTGCCATCACTCCACCCCATGGCACTCACCAGGTACTCAGGAGTCCCTATAAGGAGTTACCCACCACTCTTCTCTCTCTACTGGACCCCCACCATTACCAGAAGCTCCAACCATTTGTGACAAAAAAATTATGACGACCATGATTTCAGTGCGAGCCCAAACCATCACAACATTTATAGACCCCAAACCTTTAAACACACGTTCACAAGTTTCACATCCATGAGAATGGTAAAAGATACTTACAGCTAAGGACCCAGGACCATACTGGGAGCCATGTTGGCAATGAGGCTTGGGATGGCACTTGGGACCACATTTATTAAATTTACTACTTAATTTTCTTAACTTTTCTTTACATCTCAAAGCTGTGAAATGTTTAAGGGTGGTCAATTTCTATATTAGCAGTTGTTTGAGTTTTTATTTTGAAACACAAAAAATGTTGATGATTGAAATGGGTCTTACTGGACTTTTGAGACGGTCCCTAACTCCTCCTACAGTAACAGATGCGTTGGACAGACATTCAGTTCTTAGCGCTGCAAACTGCATCTTCACCTTTGGTGATTTTCAGGTAATCAAAACTGTGAAACGTCTGCCTAAATTAGATCGAGGTGAGAAATCGAGGTTTTGACACAGAGCTATTGAAGGTAACAGCCGCGAAACTAACCTCACCCCGGTTTCCATACTCTTTTCTATTCGACGAGTTGAGGCGGAGCTGTTGCTGCAGATGCACTTGTCGTTGTCTCCTACGTGTTGGATCTTCGGTACTTTCGGTACATAGCAAAACGAGCATCAACATGTTTTCAGAATTTTGGTATCGACCTGGTACAGAAGTATCGGTTCTCATGACATCCCTACTTCTGCGCCACTGCGAATCAGCAAATGAAGTTTTTATTTCTCTTGTTCACACTGCTTATGGAGAACAGAATAATGCACATGGTGTTAATGACAAAAGAATTATATGTCAAAATCATCGCTGAAGAAAAATTATTCAGTCCTATAGTGATCATGGAAGCTTTAAAATGGCCTCTCTGTCCCTTTTTCTCTCTCTCTAAGTGATTGAAGCATGATTGATGACACACACACACAGTCTCATAGGAGATGATGTATTTTTCTAAGAAGAAAGGTAGACAGACAGGTAGATGTGGAGAGATTAAGTATCCATCAGATCATCTCCCCCGGCCAGCGGCAGGTTTCTATGGCGCTGCTACAGCGTTTCCATGGTAAACAATCCCAGTCTTGTTAAGAAGAAGTATTGTGTTTCTGTCAGAGGACTGAAGACCGAGCTGCTGAATGTTGTTCATATTTTGGTGCAGACTCCATCTGAGGTCAGTGGACAGTAGCAATCACATTAAAAGATTTAAACACCCAGTTTAATTAGATTCTCTGGATTAATACAGATGTTTTATGCACATGACACTTCAAGGGAAATTCTAGTATTTGTAGAGCTGAAATGATTATCAATTAAATTAATTTGTTTAACAGCAACTCAACAACATTCTCTGCTTCTCCAATGTGAAAATGCCCTGCCTCTGGGAATTTCTTGACTATTTTCTGATATTTTATAGACTAAATGATAAATCAATGATGAAAATAATCACTATTTGCAGCTCTAAGTATTTGTCAACCAGCATCTGATTCTAATATTTTTTCTGTAATGGCAGTCACGGTGACATATTACTCGCCACCTCCTCTGTAAAGCAGACTCCCGCAAGAACAATGTTAATTGTTTTTACAAAACAGCTTTACAAAAAACTGCATAGCAAATCCAATTTACCTGACTGTTTATGCATACATGCTGGTTTGTTTACATTACTGTGAGGCTGTGGCTCACTCTCCATGACTACAGAAGTAGTGGACAGTGAGTGTAAATGAAACAACTTGATTTGGGTCATCAAGTTTCCAAATTGAACCAAGACTAATGGCCCTATTCCACCACATGGTACCAGCTCGACTCGCCTCGACTCTACACGCCTTTTTTGGTTTTCCACCGGGGAAAAGTTGTACCTGCTACCTGGTGCTTTTTTTCCAAGCGAGCTGAGTTGAGCTGAGGTGATGCCAAAAGGTGACGTGAAAACAATGCAGATTACTGATTGGTCAGAGAGAATCTTCACTATTTACTGCATCATCATTGCACATGCCAGACGGGGGCTATTGTGTTAATTTTCATATGCTATTTCATCACTAAATTCCCTTCTGAGAAATTTTGAGAAGAGAAATCAACCATGTAGATTTAAAATATTGGCATTTTACAAAGATTGATAGCGAATCAAAAATGTGCTCAAACATTTTCAGAGTTGAGAAGCTCCATAAGTGCTGGCGGGGTAGCTAGCGAGCCAGCCATCCGGTCAGCTCACAGAGGCCTCTGGTCCCACAGTCACACAGACCACTGCAGCCAACACAGCAGACAACTCCAGCGTCAACGGGGCAGAGGAAATCACAGTTCCACTATTTGTCTTTACATTCGGGTGTGTGTGGGTCGCAGTGTGTGCCGCGTTGAACATTACGTCGCGGCAGTTTCGTGCGGGGTTGCTATGACGACCAGCTATGTTGAGTGTGTACTATCTGCAATGGAAAACAGAGGACGGTGGCCCAAAGCGAGTCGAGTAGAGTCGAGGCGAGTTGGGTTGAGCTGGTACCAGCAATGGAAAAAACGCCAAAAGAGTCTACAGCCATTCAAGCAGATCTGCGTAGCTATACTTGAGGTCAATACTTACATGCTGACAAAGTAACCATTCTGATGTTTGGAAGATATAATGTTCACCGTCTTAGTTTAACATGTTAGCATTTGTTTATTAGCACTACACACAAAGTGCAGCTGAGGCTGATAGGAATGCCACTAATTTAGCAGATATTTAATCATAAACACTTTTAGTGTACTAATTTAAATTTTGACCTGATGATGGCGCTAGAAGTTATTACAATTCATGCTGAGGGGCACATGAACGTCTGAACCAAATTTCAAGGCAATCTATCCAACAGGTTTCAATATATTTCACTAAAACTTGTTATCCTGCTAGTCGTGCTAGAGGAATAGTCAGGGGATCACCAAAGTTGGCAGGATTTTTCCTCCTGGGACTACAATTGGACATTTCCTATTGAGATATAGTTCAGTCTGGACCAAAGTAGTAGACTGACTAACTGTCCAACCATCATTGCCATC